CCTTATCGTGGTTGCCTTTTTATGATCCGTGAACGGTTTACAAGTTCCTTAAAAACTTGTTGGCGTCTCCCTACTTTATTTGTCCCTAATCGTATTGTGTCAATTCCCACTTCCTATGAGTGCCAAGCATATTCACACATGCTTTAACGTAGGCGCACTTCGAACGACGCCTACAGTAATAAATACGTCCACACTCCTCTTGAAAAATCATCTACTATAGTCAAGAAATAACGAGATCCACAAGTTGATGCAACTTTGTAAGGATCCCATAAATCAACATGAATAAGTTCAAAAAAAACAACTTGCTCTATTTTTGCTATTGGGAAAACTACTCCTATGTTGTTTTGCCCGAGGGCATACATCACAAGATTTATTTTTACTACTTCGACTAGAACTACTCACAACGGGAAGATGTTGAAGAAAAATATTGCATAGAAAATGACCCACGTTTTCAGGGTAAACAAGCAAATAACATAGAAGATAGAAAAATGTAATAAAAAAAAAACAAGCAAATAACCCACGTTTTCAGGGTAAAGAAAATGAGATGTCATACCCAAAGTCATAGAAGATAGAAAAATGTAATAAAAAAAACGTTAATCTTGCATGTAAGATATGTGATGTAAAAAAAGCGGGTGAGCTAAATAACATATCTCACCACGAGTAATTTATGAAAACATAAAATTGTTGTATGATAGTCTGGTCTATAAAACTTTCACTTGCACATTGCACTCAAATTTTATCATTTCACGCTTAGGGGCATCAAATAATTTATTTCATTTTAGTTTCATCAATACTATAATCATCACGTACGATCAACTTTTTCTTAAAATATTGTGATTTTCTTGTCACCCATTCTTCGAAGTTGACTTCTCCAGTAATGGGTGGGTCAAAATAGAAGTAGTGGTGGTCCGCTAAGATATTTAAAGGATTTAGGAGATGTCATTTGTTATACTGGCAAGCCATTGACCTCCAAGATTGAGGTGATAGAGAAGGTAGAACTGAATTTCGACAAGGTAAAGAGAATTATTGTTGTTGTTGATTTTAGATAATTCAAATCGAAAGGGAAGTTGATGAATGAGAAAGAGCAAATCTCAAAAGACAGACACCTCGAAGGCAAGAAATGTCAATTTTAAGGTCGGAGGTGCAGGTTTAGGAATATGTCGGTTGGTAGATTTGCCAAGAGGGTTTTTGAAGGGTTTACGGTGGAGGAATCCAGGTAAAAAGAGGATGAAGAAAAAAAAAATTAGTTTTTCTGGTTATTTGAAAATGGAAAGAAGTGGAATCTAGTACTTCGTTGTGTAATACTGTTTTGTACAAACTTTTCTTTATCTATTTTATTTTTTCAAATTTGGTGTTCTTTTAAATTTAAACTGAGCATAATTCGTAAAAATTTTGGATTTGATTTAAAGGTATCAAGACATAATGCTTAGAGTACTTGGTATCGACAATACTATGCTGGTATTACTTAAATTAGGATTGACAGAGCAATCGTCAAATTCTCATTGTACTATATATGGGGCTTAATATATCAAAGGAACACAAATGCCAACTAATTGTCTTTTTTTTTTTTTTTTTTTTTATTAGAGAATTTTTATAAGGACTAGAGGGGAATGTTATTTAGCAGAGTTCAATGGGCATTTGTATCTGGTGAATTACATTCTTGTTGTCGAAGGCGGCATGCAGGTAATTAAGAATCTTTGTGCTTGTATGTTGAATGAAGAGAATGCGTGTTGGGACCGTAAGTACGATTTGGATGGAGGGGTTTTCATTGTTGGTGTGGATTCTATGTTCTCTGTTTTAGCCAAGGATTTTGGTCGAAGCAATGTTATCTTTTTTGATGCTCAAGTCAGGATTAAGTATAAGACCTGGTTTCGTCATAACATTAATAGGATGAAATGTGGTTGTTCGATTTTGTACAATTTACAGTCTGGTAAAAACACTGTCTACAATTGGTGGACAAATCGTGCACCGTTTTGGCCTCCACCAAGTTGGTTCAACAAGCTTTAGGTTGAACCGTTAAAGTATTGATGAATCGGCTAATCCGCACAATACTGTAATCATTAAGGAGACTCTAGGTTTACCTCTTTCCTTTTATTTCTGTTTTTATGTTTATGATCTCCCCTTTGCAAATTAAGTGCTTTGAATTAATTGTTTTCAAAAAAAAAAAAAAAAAAAGTGCTTTGAATTAATTTATTCCGTTCTTTCTTTTGATTATAAAAAATAAAAAACCATGTATGCTATATTGTGAGCCAAGCTGCCCTGCTATATCAATCTTTTGATAATAAGTACATGTATGCTATATTGTGAGGGAAGCTGCCCTGCTCTATTATGATAGACTTGAACACGCTTTAACTCACACGATCTCAAGATGTTTTGCTTGATCACAACATTAACAATAATGAAATTAGTTTTTTTACGTACACCTTCCATTTGTAACAGGGAATGTTATTAGCAGTAATCAACGTTACTCAAACAAGGATCCTTGAAAGGTCTTATATTTTGGATCGGTAATTGTATCAAAAGGCATTTGTATCTGGTGAATTAGAGTGTTGTTGTGGAAGCCTTTATAATACGAATAAACAATGTTGACAGTTTCAATTACAACCATAGGTAACGCTAGCTAGTTAACAAAAACAGAACTTAAAATTGCTTAAGGATTCAAAAATGTATAATGCATGTAAGTTTATCCAATTTAAAACATAATTAACCATGATCGACTTTAATTTAATTTTGAATTGACATGATAAATTCATCTGACTGGAATTCATAACAAAATGATGAAATTTCAAAGCAAAAATTTACTCTAATAACAGAAAGGCACCAAAATAAAACAAGTCCTATTAGATCTTATGATTCTTATCTAACATTGCCTAGCTAGTTGAAATGGAGTTCAATCAACCTGGAACAGGCCAGAAAATGTTGGTGTACTCAGGAGGCAAATAATCAGCAGTGATAATGTTACCATCTTCCAAAGTATAGAGTCCACAGAATCTGTTAATTTTGCTACAATAATACTTCAGGCTTGTAAAAACTTCAGGAGTTGAAACACATGTAAATAAAAATTTGGATTTGATTTAAGGGTATATGTAAAGTTGGGCACCACCCTAAGATCAAACTTATACAAGACACGAGCCTTGCTAAGTAGCTACTCCGTATTACTTGTATACTTATATTGATTGGCTATATTAGAAATGTTGTTGCTGAAGCCAATCATCAAATACTCATTGTGCTACATGTGAATGGTAATAATAGGGGAGATTCATATGGGGCTTAACCTTCAGAAAGGGTAATTCGGCTCACATTTGGTGGCCAATTGACCAGATTGGTAAATAAAAAAGAGACTTAGCGATAATTTGGTAAAAAAAATAATTCTGACGACAATTTGGTAAAAAAAAAATAACCCTAATCGACAATTTGGTAAATAAATTAATCTCAGGCGACAATTAACCCAAAAAATACAAAAATTTCCGACAAAGTACTCACGAATGCTTAATTTAGTTTCGTTTTTCATTTTTTTTTATCAACCCTTTTAATGGAAATAACAATTTCAAGAAAAAAAAAATTGAAGTATCAATTTCACTTAAGTTTCATACCCCTTATTAACGAAATTCTTTTAAAAAGGGGTTAAAAAAATTGGTATTGGGATTTAGCAAAATAAAAAGGGGATGACATAGTAATTCTAAATCTTAAATGGGAAAAATAAATTTAAAAACACAAAACACAAATTAAATTAAGATTTTTAAAGAGTTTGTCGACAAAAATAAGATTTTTTGGGCTAAATGTTGCCGGAGTTTTTTTTTTTTACCAAATTGTCGCATATAGTTAGCTTTTTTTTACCAAATTGTCATCGGAGTAAGTTTTTTTACCAATTTGTCACTAAGGGTCTTTTTTATTTACCAATCTGGTCAATTGGCCGCTCACATTTTACCACCACAACTTTATTAGCAGCACTACATACAGAAGACGTGGAGCTCCATTGTGGACAATATTTAAAAAAGGGTAATGATATATCATATATGTAGCCCTTAGAGCTATGTATAAACATTAAAAATACTTCTCAAAATGGAATTAAATTGAGAATTCATAACAAAATCACGTGCAGATCAGTGAGATTGTTTTGAGCGGAATACAAAAAAGTGGGATTATTAGTTTCTATTTTTCAATAAAAAAAAAAAACAAATTGACCAATAGACCTAATTCTTCTATAATTCAATAATTAAGATCAAATCAATAAACAAGTTGACAAATAAACCTTACACTTCTAGTTCAGTAAGATCAAAACAATAGACAAATTGACCAAAAATTCCTAATTCTTCTGTAATTCAGTAAGATAAAATCAATAAACATATTTTCGAAAATATGGCTAAGTTGCATAAACAACATGAAAATTCGATAGTAGCATTTAATATATGAAAAAGTAGTACTACCTCCGTCCCTAAAAGAATGACCCATTTGGCCTAATTTTAGTCCCAAAAAGAATGACTCATTTGCATTAAAATCCCCACCAATTTGCAATAACGTTTGTGCAACATTAGGTTCTCCATATAAAATTTTGTTTTTCTATTTACTTTTATTAATTTCTCTCTCTACTTTTTACAAACTCCATATAAATAAATCTTTAAATATACTTTTACTTTTTTTTTATTTAATTTCCTTAATACTCGCGAAATCAACCCGAATGGGTTGTTCTTTCGGGGACGGAGGGGTAGATAAATTACAGAAATTCAACATATGATTAGCAGATCAGCATATTGATCACACTTAAACCTTGCGGATGAAATCTAATTAAGATGTTATAGTAGCAATTATATAACTAATATATAAAGCTAAACTTTTAGCCAGACGACAAGATAGCGACACTTGACGTTCTAACTTTGATATATAAATTAAAAATTTAAGATGTTATAATATCAATGATATGTTTTAAAATTTGACACAACTCCGACATTATATATGCACAAAACTAGTTCTATATATAACCGTGATTGCTTACAAATAACGCACTTACCGTGATTGCTTACAAAGAACGCACTTACTTTGGTAATTTTATTATATTTGACCCAAATTCTTCCCTTTCTCCTTCAAAACCATTCCTCAAAATCCTGAAATTTACAGAGATGACGATCTCCCACGAAACTGAGAAACACGATGAAGAAGAAGGGCAATGGAAGAATCTGACCAACGATATATTAGCCTTGATTTTGAAACGCCTCAATACCAAAGCAGATCTCTGCCGATTCCGCTCAATCTGCAAATCATGGCGATTTTTCGCCACTCCAATTCAACCCCACCTCATTTTCCCTCTCACTCTTCCCCCTCTTAACCCTAATTCTCGCCCTTTCTCTCTCTCTCCTACTCTCATTTACATTATCTCTCCCCAATTTACCCACCATAATCTCATCAACAATGTCTGGCTTACCAAAGTTTCAGAAACAGGGGAAAACAAGTGGGGCCTTCTTAATCCTTTGACGAAGCATAAAATGTATTTTTCTTCATCTGGGGTTTTTAAAGAGAGGATTGATTTGCTGGATTTTCGAAATCTTGAGGTGGGTCGGTCGTATCGGCTTCAATTGATTAACGATCATGGAGATGAAGATACCTTCGATTTTGAGGAATTTAGCTCTTCGATTTCTTTGAGGAAGGTTGTTGTTCGAATTGGGGAAGAAATTTCTGTATTGGGTTTATACGGGTATGGTCAAATTGCGGTTTGGAATTCTGGGGATAAAAATTGGAAGATTATTGAAACTGGGAAGAAGGAGAAGAAGAATGAATTTGATGATGTTATATGCTTTGATGAGAAATTCTATGCCGTTGATCGAACCGGGAGGTTGGTGATGATTAATCCGGCATCTCGGGAGCTCGTTGAGGTGGTTGGCACTTCAACTGCAGAATGCAGTGGTCAGTATACTTATTTAGTAGAATCAAATTTTCGCTTATATTTGGTTAATAAGATTGTTAATCCAATGCCTACTAATTATTATGATGATGAAGAAGAAGAGTGGGTTGTGGATAAAAGTAGTGTAGGAAAGCCTCTTGGCTTTAATGTTCTTATGTTGAATAAGAAGGAAAAGTGTTGGGAAAGAGTGAGTAGCATAGGGAATAATGTGTTCTTTGTTAGCCGTGACGCGACGTTTTCGGTTTGTGCTAAGGATTTGGGATGGAGTAAGGGGAATTGTGTTTATTTTGAAGGTGTGACAGGTTATGATGATGAAGCTGATATGAGTTTTGGGTTGAATGCTGGTGTTTATACATTGGAGGATGGAGCTATTTTGGCCTTTGATTCATCGGTGGATCGTTGGACCGGGATTTTCTGGCCGCCTTCGAGGTGGTTTGTGGAAAATATGGAGTACCCTGAATGTGAAATGTTGGGTTAAGTCGTATGTTGGTTAGTGATACCTTCAGCATTATTTGATTGCCTTGTATAAATAATTAATGGTATGCTCTTTTTGTAATGAATTATTGATAACAACGAATAATAGCAGTTGAGATTACATCTTACATCAATGATTACTGGATTTTTCGAATGAATAGTTGCTTCGACTCTTGCTTCTGTTATCTTTTTTTGTTGCATCCTTTTTTAAAGTTTTCTTTGAGTTGAATGAATATAGTGGTCGATTCTGTAAAACTTTAAGACTCTGTATCTTTGTCATGTTGGATGGACCAATTATCTGAATTTTAGCCTCATCCTTTGTCTTGAGTTTAAACCAGATATATCTAAATTTAAAAACAATTATATCTTTACTCCAAGTCTGAACAAGAGGAAGGTTGTGCTTCTGTTGGTAAATTTGTAATAGGGGAAATTGTTCTATCCTTTTGCTGGATTTTCAATGTGCCCTGAACTTTGAAAAAGTTGAAGGTTGATTCTCATATCCTTACCAGTGGGGTGCCCGTGGTGGTATGTTGAACAGTTGAAGCTATATCATCAAGGATATATTAAGCCAATTAAGGTAAGTCATTACTATTAAGCCTGTGATAATTTGCAATTTTTTCAAAATTTTCTTGTGAAGCACGGAGTAAGCTGTAACCTGTAAGCTCAAGTTCTTTGCAATCGAAAAAAGGGTATGAATTTGCAGAAATTCGAAATTCAACTCTGTTGATCATGCCCCACATCAGGAACTCTATGCTGTGATTAATGACGTTGCAGAAATTCTCAGGAGAAATGGAAACATCCTAATCAGGCATGCCCCTCTTGAAAGAAATCTGCTTGCTCATAGCCTTGCTGCCTATGGGTTAGAGATGAATATTGGGCATAAAGACCATTTTTTGGTCCCTTTTGCCAAGCATATATATGATGCTGATCTGGGTGCGTCCACTTCCTCTGGTTGATCTCCTTGGTTTTCTTTTCGCTGCTTTGGATGTCTACTTATGTTATGTCCTAGTTCCCTTTATTACCTTTCATAGTACTAGTTTGTATTATAGTTTCCCTTCCAGTGTTGCTTTCTTACCTCGGCTATGTACTAATAAGCCTCCTCCTCATTACTCTTACATCATCATCATGTTTTGGGTTTGTCTTGATTATGATGTTAAGAGAAATGCTTTTGTCGTACTGAATGCTTTTAGGCCTTAAGTGGCAGTAATATATTTCATTCGTTTTGTGTTTTTTGAAAAAAGGGTATGAATTTATGAATTGTTATTGGGAAAAAATTGTCTTTTTTTTAATTTCAATTCATTTCATTTCTTATAAAATGCTACTTGACTGATCAGCTAATTGTGCCAAATGGTAGTCCACGACTCTTAAATAAGTTGGGACGTGGGAGTTGGTTAGCAAGCTATAGATATTAGTGTATTACTAGTTTTTTTTTTTTTTTTTTTTTTTTTGGGAGGCAAAAGCAAGGGAACCTTTCATTAATCAGAGTCTATAAGAACATACGTTGTTACATCACTAGGACAATGATTAATCCATATTTGCTAAACACCAAAGGGCATCAATTTAGCTAAATAGTGCGCTACGGCGCTATCCACTTCCCTTCCCATTTAATATGAGACCAACAAAAAATAAAGGTAGAACAAACATCAAGAACATCTTCAAGCAAGTTATCTAAATCAGAGAGGAAAATAACAACATAAGTAAGGGCATGTTCTCATTGACTAAACTCAGCTGAACTGAACTGAATTGAGCTGAACTGAAATGAACTGAATTGAATATTTTATAAGATAAGTAAATTAGGAGATGAGCTGAACTGATGAACTGAACTGAATTGAGCTGAACTAAACAGAGCTGAGCTGAACTGAACTGAACTGAATTTCAACGTAAGAGAACAGGCCCTAAATTATTAATTATACTGTTAATTCAACAATAATTTACCAAAAAACACTACTAGAAAACAGGTTGATTGCGACAGAAATTTTTCGTCGGAAACACCTTGTTTTCCGTCGCAAAACCCATTTGTGAAGGAATTACGTCGTAACCGGTTGTCGGAAAAGTTGTTGTCGGAAAAACACCCTTTTCCGACGGAATTTCCGTCGTAAATGGGTTTTCCGACGGATTTCAGTCCGCCGAGAACATTTTCAAGCACGGCAAAGTCCCTCGTAAAATTCCGACGGAATTGAATTCTGTCGTAAATGCCCGACGGAATTTCCGTCGGAAAATGCTTTAAAAAAAACAAAAAAAAAAGCCACCGCCACGCTGTACCAGCCACCGCCACCGCAAGCCGTCACCCCTCACCACCTACCCCCACCTCACACAACCAGCAACTCACCAAGTCACCTAACCCACACCCAACCCTACCAACCGTATCACCACCCACACCAGAACCCTACCCACCAGCCACCTACACCAGATCCACCACCCCACTACCCACCTACAACCACCACCGCCACCTAACCATATTTACCACCCCACCACCCACCTAAAATCACCACAGCCACCACCAAAAATCATCACAATCCAGAAATTAACAAAAAAATAAAAAAAAAATAAAATCCGAACGCAACCCACAAATACGGTCTCCATCCAACAGCCACCACCCACCACCACCATAAATTGTAAAAAAAATTCCAATAAAACAACAAAATAAAATCAAAATTGAAAAAAACGAAATACATACCTTAATTAGACCACACATAACCTCGAAATTGGGTTTAAGAGGCCAAATTCGACCATAAAAACTCTAGATCTAGAGTTTTCATGGTCGAATTTGACCCAAAAACCTTTGTTTTAAGCATGAAGAGAGAGAATAAGGGCGAAATAGATGAATATTATTGTTAGTTGATGTTGATGCCGGCGATGGTGTTGTTGATGTTGGTGTTGTTCGTTGTTGATGGCGGCTATGGTGGGAGATTTGAGGGGAAAGTAGAGTAGAGGAGAGATAGAGAAGGAGAACGAGTGAGATTCAGAGAACGAAAGAAGGAGAACGAGTGAGAACGAATTGAAAGAGAACGAATTGAAAGAGAATCAGATAGAGGAGTGAGAACGAATTGAAAGAGAAGGGGAGTGAGATTCAGAGAAAGAGAAGGGGAGGAGAGAGAAGAGGAAAGATAAGGAGGAGAAGAGGCGGAAAAGAGAGGAGTGTTATTCTAGGGTTGATTTAAAAAAAAAAAAAAAAAAAAATCCGACGGACTAAAAATCCGTCGGAAAAAGTAATTTCCTACGGAAATATCCGTCGGAAAGCCCATATATTACGACGGATTTTAATTCCGTCGGAAATGTCGTACTTTCCGACGGATTTTAATTCCGTCGGAACGGTTCCGTCGGAATTAAGCTGTTTTCTAGTAGTGAAATTATCTTTAACAAAAGCTTGAATTATAGTTGTACCAATGAAACATTGTATTGTATTAAAAAAAATGATAATAGGAAGTAGAAGATACAAGGTTCTATATAAAAAAAAAACAATACAAATTCTTAAATGGACCTGGTCACACTAATTTATTTTGGACCATTAACATTAGGGAAAATATGATTGTTTTATTAATAAAAGAAATATGTCACTGTATTGAAATAAAGGTTATTATGTTCCCTCCGTCCCCTTTTGATAGTCCCTTATGGGCATTTTCACAAGAATTAATAAACACACACAAAAAAAAAAAAAAAAAAAAAAAAAAATAGTTAAACTATATTGAAAATGTAAATTGACATTGGGTATGCAAAAAATTAGAGAGAGAAAGTAATTAAAGTACATGGGAAAACAAAGTTTACATGTAAAAAGTTAAATTTGCACAAATATTGTTGCAAATTTGAGGGAATTTTGGTGAAAAACAATGTTAATAGTTGTTGGAAAAAGCAAATGGGGTGAACATTTTGGAACTAAAATTTGTCCATAAGGGACTATCAAAAGGGGACGGAGGGAGTAAAAGTTAGTGCAACGTATAAAACTATAAAAGGTTAAATTTTTTTTTAATGAAAGTTTTAATATAATGGTCAATATGAATAATAAAGATTACTATGTTAAAATTAGGTCACTATTCAACATAATGTCGTACTCTAAGGGAATGTTCAAATTTACTTAATTTCAGTTCAGTTCAATTCAGCTCTAATAAGTTCAGTTCAGTTCAACTCCAATCAGTTCAGTTCAGTTTCTAATTTCCTTCTCTTATAAAATATTCATTTTAGCTCAGTTCAGTTCAGCTCCAATCAGTTCAGTTTAGTTCAGTCTAGCTCCAATCAGTTCAGTTCAGTTCAGTAAATGTGAACAGGCTCTAAATTCATAATAACATTAAAGGTCACTCAAATTTTTAAAAAAGTTAATATGTTAAAAATAAGGTTACTATGTTAAAAATAAGGGTCACTATATTGAATATAATGTCAATTACGTGTAAATAAACCTTAGGTCCACGTGAGATTTTTTGTAAAAAGAAATATAAAGTTAGCATTTTTTTTTTGTGTTAATGAAAAATGTTGTTTTAGAGGGAAAAAAAAAGAGAAAGTGACATTTGTCGTTTTGGTATCTGTTTTAGTATTATGTTATTAATAGGTTAAATCCCGTGTCATGCACGGTAAAAATTAAACTTTACAACAAAATTTATAAAGAATGGTGTTAATTCAACAAATTTATCCAAAAAATAAAACATATTTGTAACAAAATAATAGTCTCTAATTAAAGATATTGATGGTCAAAGTTATGTCTCAATAAATGTGCAAATCCAACCATAACTTATAAAAAATCGGAGGAGTATAATATAATAAAATTATTTTGTTAAGTTGTTCATATAAACGTTATGTATATTGTAAGATTTATACAAATTATCCTACCAAAATTATTATTCCTATTTTTAATTAAAATAAATTTTAAGTCGGAGGAAAAAAATTATAATAATATTATGATAATCTGGATGATGATATTTGTCAATACCTTAATTTTAAAGTATGTTAGTATATTTGTAACTAAAAGATTTATAGTATATAAAATATATGTTGAAAAAGAAAAAAAACAATTGAGTATGATTGGATTAAATGTGTTGTCAAAATGGAAATAAGTATTATGGTAGGTTATAAAATTTTTACCGTGCATGACACGGGATTTAACCTATACCAAATTTTAATGACTTCCATTTTATAACATCGTGACAAGTGTCACTTTAAGTTCGCTTTTAGTATAGGTTAATTGAATAAAATTTGGCAAAAAAAATAGGAAAGAAAAAAAAGGCGGAATTTTTTTTTATAACATCGTGACAAGTGTCACTTTAGGTTTGTTTTTAGTATAGGTTAATTGATTGATTGATTGATGATTAATTGATTGATGATGACTCACAAATATATTTGGGCTTAGGCTGGTTCACTATGTCCATTATGCAATAGTTCCTATGGGCTAAAGCCCAATTTTTATTTTTATTTTTTTATTTTTTTATTTTTGCATATAAACCAAATTGCCAATACGGCAATACCCGATTACTTTACTATAAAGCCATGCTAAACCCCAAGAGCTTGAGAAATTTCGATTGAGCAACTATGGCGGAATTTCCGACAGAAATACTCTCCGAAATTCTTTCACGATTACCTGTAAAATCACTACTCCGCTTTATATCTGTCTGCAAATTCTGGAATTCCTTGATCAAATCCCCTAATTTCATCAAATCTCATCTCAATCAAACCCTAATTTCCGACTCCGATCGTTATCTCCTCAAATCATCAGCAGACTCCCCTTTTTTCATTTCCCAGATCGACCTTCACCATAACCATTTCTCCTTCTCGGAGCTCGACCTCCCTCTCGAATACGAGGATGTCGAATTTTTTAACTCCTGCAATGGCGTCATTTGCATTTCTGATTACCACAAAATCGACGTATTCTTATTCAATCCTCTTACTAAATCTTATCGTAAACTCCCTGTTAAACGAAACCCAAAACATGATTTTGTGTTGTTCGGATTTGGGTATGACAGCAACAACGACGATTACAAAGTTTTGAGGATTCTTCAAAGGCATAATTGTGGGAAATCTAGTCATGATGAAGTTCAATTGTATAGTTTGAACAACAATTCATGGAAATCTGTTCAAGGTATTCCGCATCCTTATTATCTCCCTTTTGCTGATTGTCATGGTGTTCTTGTTAATGAGGTTTTACATTACATTGTCAGTTCTGATGAATTGGAATTGCAGCAATGTAAGATGATTGCTGGTTTCGATATTCGGACCGAGAGTTTCTCGCTTATAGACTGCCCCATTCAGGATGAAAAGATAAAGACTTATTGGGAATTTGTGGAATTTCATTTGAGGGAATTGGGTGGGTGTTTATCTGTTGTGGTAGCGTATCTTACTAGAGATAATGCTATTATGATGCCTATTTTTGATGATGATGGGTGTAATCGTGAACTCAAACGAGCTGATTTGTGGGTGATGAAGGAGTATGGAAACAACGAGTCCTGGGTTAAACTGTTTAGTGTTTGCAACCTGCCTGATATTGAGAGATTTGTTGGTTTTACCCCTGTTATCTACTCCAAAGATGGGCGGCGGATTTTGATAGTGATGGATTGTTTGGAGGCTGGTTGGTATGATTTAGAGTCCGGGGAATTTGAGAAAGTCACGGTTCATGGGCTGCCTTATACTTATTTCGACACTGATTATTTCGTGGGCAGCCTTGTTTCACTTGAATTTAAGCCGCACCCAACTGGAATTGTGAAAAGGAAGAACAAAAACTAGTAAACTGTCTAAACACTAATAAAAACATTTATTGATTTTCTGTGCATATATAATTTTTTTAAAATATTTGTGCTTATCCTGTGTCTTATGACTTGTTTGATTCCTAATTGCTACAGATATAGATCATGGAGAAATTCCTAATAGCTTTTCGTCCATGTTTGCTAGGGATGTCCATTGCTCTGATCAAGCTGAAAGTCATTAACCTGTTAGATTTAATAATGTATAGGTAGCCTACTATAAGTGCATTTTGTCTGCTGTTATCAGAGATTACTCTAAATTGTTGTGTACTCTTATATGATTTTTCTTGCGTCTGGAACTCTAGAATGCAGAGGTACCCATGTTTCCCTTATTGTTTAAATTGGAGATATTCATTTGACATTGTTTCTTCAATTTGAATCCTATTATAACTTGATGTAGGATATGCTCAGTATCTCCTTATTACTGATAGTATTCGATCTTTAACACCTATGAGTAATAATATTATGTCAATTATAAGTATTATTGTTATTATTTTGTTATACTCTTTATTATAAAATTGAAACTAAATAAATCATGTTAAGTGATTTTGCATCTATTTAGTTAGCATTGTTATTATCTTGGAAATACCATATTATATGCAGTGAATAGGACTTAATTCACACTCTGAAGCTCTGCTTTCTTTTCTGCAGTAAAGATTCAGATAGTTTTCTTGCTAAGGGTTTCAAGCTGAAGCTATGAGCCTATTGTTTATGCTGGGAGTTCAGAACTATATTACTGTATGTAAGTATTAAAGTATTCTTGTTCAGTTGCTTCATTAGCCCTGTTGTATCCTTGAAGACCTTGACTAAATGACTTTGAAAAGAATCATAGTGTTCTTTGTTAGATATATTTTGCCTAAGCAGAAAACCTGAATATTTGCTTACAAAATCCATATACTTCATATACTACGTATTATATTTAAATTGGACAAAACAATATATTTCAAGCTGATAAATATAGAATGGGCATTAACCTTTTTAGGGGTGATACTAAAAGTTAAAACCCTCAACGTGTTGGTTCTATGCTTAGCTTAAATTTTAAGTCTTTTAACTTTTGCTTCTTCATAATTATTGTCTTCAACTCTTGTTTTTTACCCTTGATTGTTTTCTTTAGCTAGACTTTAACAGAGATACCTTTCGATAACAATACCTTGCAAATACTAGGATCCATGGTACCACATTCTGATAATGTATCAAGCCTACCCTGTTTCATTAATCCTTTCTTATGAATACTAGTACTGCAAGTTTTTAATGTTTATGACTTGTAAATTCAAAGGAATTCCCTACTCAAAAACCAGAGTCAGATAGAGAACCAAACTGATATTGGAAGGGGAATAGTATTAATCAGTCTTTTGTGAATAGAAATACTCTGTACAATCTGGTTTGTTGGTGACAATGTACTTTTCCTGTCTATTTGCATCATCTTAGATTTTTCTAGATCCAAAACTTCTTTATGTATCTTGTTACTGGCTTCTTTGCACGTTGTGCTTGCAGTATAAACTGGGCAGAGTACTACTGAGCAATAGATCTTTCCCCTTAAGTGGTTTTACTGCATTTCATTAAGTTTGTCCATCTTGATTTTCCATAAGATGTGTATACTAAATCCAAGGTGATCTAAAAGTCATAAACTTAATTGGTATATTGGAGCCATTGATCAGCTTGTTGGACTATCCACTGCAAGAGAGATAACCTTTTGGATCTCTTGAACTGTTGGACCCATGGTCATCAACTTCCAACTTGACTATTCTTCTAGGCGTGCATTGTTATCTTATTGGGCATTGTTTCTTACTGAAGTAAACTCTCTGCTGTAGGTCTAGATAGGCATGCAAACTAATGCTCGATTGCTCACCCTCCATGAATTTCTTGAAGGCGGAAGTACTCGGTGTTCCAGATGATATATGACCCAGATTTAAGATACAAGGTTACAGGTGCCAATCTGATGTGAATATGCAGCATCTAGACATGTCATCCTTTCAGCTTGTAATCAGAGATGGTTCTCTTACTGCTAGAACTATGACCAATTTTAACAGTTTAACTGTTGTTTTTTTGTTGCATTTGCAAAGAACCGAAAAGGTTGATCATTTGAAGTAGATTTGCTTATTGTTTTTGGTGATGGGATTATGAGGTATTGGATTCTATTCTGCCCTTCCTAATAATAAACTCACATTGGCACCTTACATCTAAGACACTTTTATGAGGTAATAGACACTTTTCATAACTGCTAGTACTGCTACACCTTGCATAAGATTTTCTAAATGTTGAAAAACAATTAGACTTGACCTTATAAGAGAATTCAATCAAAGCATGATGTAATTGTCCTTTCAACTAGTTTATTATTTCTTAAATTTTAAGGTTTCAAATGCTACTCTTTTTTTTTTTTTTTTTTTACGGGATCAAATGCTACTTCTTTCGTCTCAATTATTTGCTCCATTTTGAACAAATAAAATACTTACTCCGTACAATATTCGGTCATACAGCACACATCACCAACTAATCTATGCAATTTTATTGATCATCTTATTATTACATCAATCAATAATTATACGCTATTTAAATTTTTTCATTTTTTTTTTTTGCTTCATTTTCCTGAAAGAATGACCTTTATGACCTCAATCTAGTTCCAAAATGATCATTCCATTTGCATTAAAATACTCTTCAATTTGCAATAATATTTGTGCAAAGTTAACTTATCCATCTAAATTTTGTTTTCCATGTATCTTTATTACTTTCTTTTCTATTTTTTGCACACCCATATGAATTTTCTATGTACTTATAATAGAAGTATTATATTTTTCACTATCTTAATACCCGTAAAATCAATCCAAAAGGATATTTTTTTGGGAATATGAGTTATTATGACTTACAAGTATTATACATACTCTGTATCATCAATTTTAAAAATTTTATTAAACCATTACATTAAGAAATAAACATGTCCTTTCATATTACATTAATTCACTCATTACAAACGGAGTGGTAGTAAAAAAAACATGGAAAACGAAACGCTAAAATCCGTTACGTTTCCCAAAAAATATACAGCACTTGAATAAGTAAAAATAGAAAGGATTTCAAACTAATCCGAACCTTCAACTGGAGCAACAATGGCGGCACTTCCTACTGAGATAATCACCGAAATCCTCTCACGATTGCCTGTTAAATCACTTCTCCGCTTCAAATGCGTCTGCAAATCCTGGAATTCCTTGATCAAATCCCCCAATTTCATCAAACTCCACCTCAATCAAACCCTAATTTCAAATTCCGATCATCATGTACTCAGATGGTCAGAATGCTCCTCACTTCATTCCGCCGAAATTGACCTCAATCTCCACCATAACCACCTCTATTTCTCTGAGCTCAACCACCCTCTTGAAACCCAGAAACTCTACTTGTTTGGCTCTTGCAACGGCGTCGTTTGCATCTCCGATCCCTCCAAAAACGATGTCTTCTTATACAATCCTCTTACCAACTCACACCGCAAGCTTCCCGCCGATCGAACAACTCCAAATCTTATCCATGAAGCTGTATTGTTTGGGTTTGGGTACGACAGTAAGAACGACGATTACAAGGTTTTGAAGATTGTTCAGGGGTTGAAATTTGAGGGATCTTTTAACAATGAAGCGAAATTGTATAGTCTGAACAATCATTCATGGAAATGTGTTGAAGGTATACCGTACTATGTCCTCTATGGTGATCGTCATGGTGTTTATTTTAATGAGGTTATACATTTTATGGTGAATTATATGGAGTCGGATTCCAAGTCGTGTAAGTTCATTGCTAGTTTCGATCTTCGAACCGAGAGTTTCGAGCTTATGGACTTCCCTAGCTATGATGATAAGTTGAGGAATCCTTTGGAGTATTTAGAGTTGTACTTGAAACAATTGGGTGGTTGTTTGTGTTTAGTTGTGAATTATGATACTGATAATTATGCTCATATGTTTCCTCCAGGTGTTGAGTTAGGTAATCAAATACTATATCGCACTGATTTATGGGTAATGAAAGAGTTTGGTAACAAAGAGTCTTGGGTTAAGTTGTTTAGTATTTGCGAGATGAACATTATTCAAAGTTGTCTATGTCTTAGGCCTGTTGTCTACTCCAAAGACGGGCGAAGAATTTTGATGGAGAAAGACTATTCTGAGTTTGCCTGGTATGATCTTGAGTCCAAAGAAGTTACGGAAACCGTATCCCATGGCCTGCCAAATAAGTTTTTCGATGCTGGATTTTTCGTGGGCAGCCTTGTTTTGCTTCAAGATAAGCAGCATTTAAAGAGGGAGTCCTTGCCAGTAAAGAGCAAAAGGAGGTATACATAATTTTCGGCTATCTTGTGTGCCTATTGGCCTATAATCATATCCCTACTGCCAAATCCATGCCTCGTCTTGAAATTGTTTGGCTTGTTATTTCAATGTAGTTATGTACTTATGTAGACTAATCCTAATAGCTTGGATGGTCACAATGCATGTTAGATTAGATTATGTTTAGGTAACTTGTAAGGGCATTTTTATACTTCGTAGTTGTTATCAGGGTATGCACTATCTCGCTGCTATTGTTAATTTGTTATGATATCTGCTGGAAGTCTAGAACATATTATCCACTAGGTGCCTTGGCCTACTGTCTACCATTGAATGCCTTGTCTCACCTAAGTAATTAACTAATTTTGAATAATAGATTAAAAAAAGGAAAATTTGCAAATTACCACCCAAAAATAGTATCAATTTCTAAATAACCACCCATTAAAAAATTTATTTTAAATTACCACCCACTAAAATATTTAATTACGCAGATTACCACCCTTTTTAAATTTCCGGTTGATTTCAAGTGTGTGGAGCCCATAGTCGCTATTGCCCTCCTAATTTTTTTTATTTTCTGTCGATTTCACTATTGTAAGCTACTCCTCTCTCAATTCTCTCAGTCAATTCTCTCTGCAAATTCACCTAACTCCATAAATTCTCACCCACTCTTCAAATTTAGATCCTAAATTGCAGATTAAAACCCTAAATTAGTTTAAGTTGAGAGAAAAATTTGCTCCTGTGTAATTGGGGTTTAGCTTGAAAGGTTGTTTGCGAAAATCACCATTGTTAGGGCGTCTGCTGGGGACCACGTGCTGAGTTCATTCACCTGACAATTGCTTGCTGTCAATGGCGACGTCAGAGGTTAGCAATTAATCAACAAGTTTTCCCCAATTTCAGCAAGTTTTCCCCAATTTCAGCACAATTAGAACCCTAAATTTCAGCACAATTAGAACCCTAAATTTAAAGAATGTAATAGGTTACCTGATGCGAATTCACCTTTGAGGTTTCTTCAAGATGTTACAGCAATTACAAGGGGCTGAAATTTGAGGAATTTGGGGAAATTTTGAAGTCCAAATCGCAAATTAGGTTAGGAGAAATGTTATATAGGGGGAAAACCGGGGGAAAATTCAATTGGGAAGGAGAAACTAGCCGTTAGTAGCCGTTAGGAGGGCCCCACTCATCTGAATTCCACCGGATTTTGAAAAAAGGTGGTAATCTGCATAAAAAAATATTTTAGTGGGTGGTAATTTAAAATAAAATTTTAAATGGGTGGTTATTTAGAAATTGATACTATTTTTGGGTGGTAATTTGCAAATTTTCCTTAAAAAAATATATATATTCTCATGTATCATAATGTTTAAAACTGATTAAAACTAATTTAGAGTATATTCAGTATCTCTTTATTACTGGTATATGCTTTCTATTCTTTACTTTTTCTGATTTGAAACATCTTGTGTAGTATTTTGTACTAAGTATCATTTTTGTTTCTTTTTGTTTGAAACTATATTTAGCTTAGTAAGCATTGCTATGATCTTGGGAGGATCAAATTGTAATGGAAGTATTCATTTTGAAGCTTTTTTGTTTTTAATCTGCAGTAATGATTCAGATAACTTTCTTTCTGCGGGTTTCAAGCTGAAGCTATGAGCCTATCACCTAACTGAAGATGGGAGCTCAAGGACTATGTAAGTATGTATGCAAGTTGAATTTGCAGTCTAAAATTCTTCAACTGCTTGATTAATTAGTGCCATGACTATTGTTTATTAAAACCTTATAAACCAGTTATGTTTGTGATTCCTAAGTACCCTCGCAATTCCAATTGGGACTAAAAGAGTAACTAAGGATGAATGCATGTGGCATGTACCATTAACTAGAGAGACTGATTAGGGGTAAGAGCTGGTTCTTTTTTTTTTAATACATAAATGAAATTATGAAGGAAAGGTAAATAGATCTATATAGTCCCCCTATCTCCTGGAAAGTCCTATGATCTAAGTGCTATGGGATAAATATAAACATAACTTTTGTGCATACTGGACCTTAATTGGGTTTCATTGCATTGTAAATATATATAAGAACCTTAATAGGGTTTCATTGCATTGTAAATATAAAATCCATGAAGTTTATTTGTTCTTTTTAATTGCCATCTATAATAAGATGTGCATACTGGATCCCCAAGGTGGTAACATTAAGAATCATAAACTTGGAATGTAGGAGCCTTTATTTAGGTTGTATGTTGGACTACTTATTTCAACAGAAAAACCTTTTGGATCTCTTGGACCCAGAAGCTAACCACACGATTGACAATACTTCAAGTAGTGTATATCATAATGTCACTGGCTTCTGGTTCAAGAAGAATTATCTGCAATAGGTCTGGATATGCTTGCCAACTGATCTGCTCACCTTCCATAACTTTCCCAATAACTGAAGAGTTGTTACAGATAATAATTGGACTAAATAAGAATCACAAGGATAAAGGTGGCTGGTGCTTAATTTGATTAGTAGTTTAGGCATGACCAACTCTGACTCTTGTGTTTTTGTGGCCTTTGCTAAACCCGAAAAGGTTGAGCCTGTGCACTTGATTGAAGCATATTTTCTTGTGGGCTATATATGGTGTGAGATATGGAGGCAAATTATATATGGCCTTCTGTATTGATAATAATTTGCTTTTATTTTTAGCTGTTTTGCCTTGTTGTTTTGCTACGTTTGAGTTCAAGGATTCATGAGCTGAGGCGTAACTGAACTTAATTGTTTTCTATTCCAGGATTGACCCATGGCCGAGGGCCTGATCAAGGTGGCCATTGGAGCACTGGCTACGTAGTGATTCCATAGGAGAGAAAAGACAGGGTAGTAGTTTGGTTTTTTTTCTTTTTTTTTGATGGCTACTGTGGGTAAATCTTTTCTACTGTAAGCCATGCTAACTTACAAATAGTACAGTAGTTTATGAACTTCTCGTAGTTTCTTGTGTTAAATCTAGTTATTTGAGTTAAATCCTGTCTGTAGTTTTATAGCAACATTGAGTTTGATGGAAACTTGTGTGCAGCATTCAGTGGAATGGTGTAGAATTGAGCTTGAAAAGCAGTATACAGCAATTATTCCTGGATGGCTGGATGTAAGGAGTTTATGCTCTATTTCTCATAGATAAGCTAGAAACATAACCAAAATTCACAATATTTTGTATTTCAGTCTAAATAAGTTGATAGTTGAGTTGTCTATACTCTGTAGTGGATTAGTGCGGCTGAAGTGGGTAGTTTGAGGGAAAATTCGTAAAGGATTCCAATGACATTAACCTAAACTATTATATTTCTTAAAATTAATAGTAATTAATATGACAAAGATTTACCAATTTGAGCTTTACTCAAAAGTCCTTAAGTATCATCTAGAAATTCCTAAAAAGGAAAAAAAAAAAAATAGTGATCAGGAAACTTATGAATATTTTGAACTTAAAAAAATATGAAAACAAATTTATATAAATCGAAAAATAAATTACTGTGAAATTCGTGTATCGCATGGGTGCTAACCTAGTAATTATATACATCAACCCCAAAACCCGATTCAACCAGCACGTCAAAGAAGTGTAATCTAATTATCTCGTGCTTAACTTACTAATCCGTAAAAGGGAGGAAAAATCAAAACAAATACTCTTACTATGTAGAGTAGCAGTAGTAGTAATACTACTATACTACGGAGTACTACGGAGTAGTATTGAACTTTTCAAACCCTCAAAAACTGCCATAGTTTGAGCAACAACAATGGCGACTCTCCCAATTGAGATCATCACTGAAATTCTCTCTCGATTACCTGTAGAATCACTTCTAGAATTTAAGTGCGTCTCCAAGTCATGGTATTCCCTAATCAAATCCCCAAATTTTGTCAAACTTCATCTCAATCAAACCCTAATTTCCAATTCCAATCGCAATCTTCTCCTCTCCTACTCCTCTGATCATTCTTCCGATACCAATTTCCACCATAATCATCTCATATTCTCAGATATTGATCTCAACCACAATCACCTCCTATTCTCGGAGCTCGATCACCCTCTTAAACACCGCGAAATAAACTTTGTAGGATCCTGTAACGGCGTCATTTGCATCTCCGATAAATTCAAAAACGACATTTTCTTGTTCAATCCAGTGACGAAATTTCGTCGAAAACTTCCGCCCAATCGTACTCATAACCCCGGGAATGATAAGACTTTGGTGTTTGGTTTCGGTTTCGATAGCGAAAACGATGACTATAAGGTTTTAAGGTTGATTCAGGACAGTCATTACAGTGAGGTTCACCATAGTAAGGCTGAAGTATATAGTTTGAGGGAAAATTCATGGAGATGTGTAGAAGGAATCCCATATTTTCTGTTGTTTGTGTATCGACATGGTGTTTTTGTTAATGAGGCTATGCATTACATTGTGGTTACTAAAGAACTACAAATGCAATGCGAGTTCATAGCCAGTTTAGATTTTAAGACCGAGACTTACTCGATTATGGACTGCCCGGATTATGATGTTAAGTTGGGTGGGTGTTTGGATTTAGGTGAGTTGGGTGGGTGTTTGTGTTATGTATCGAACATTAGTACCTGCTTCCCCTTTCGAGGACCCTGTTGATAGAATTGATTTTCGAATGAATCGTGCTGATTTGTGGCTGATGAAAGAGTATGGGAAGAAAGAGTCCTGGGTTAGGTTGTTTAGTATTCCCCAGACGGCGAGTGTTGGGATGTATCTACAGATTAGGACTATTGTTTAATCTAAAGATAGGAGAAGAACTTTGTTGGAGTATGATTCTTTGGGGCTTGGTTGGTATGATTTGGAGACCCATAGTTTTAGTCCGTTTAAGGGACTGCCAGAAGCACCAATATCTTCCGGGTTTTTCGTGAGTAGCCTTGTATCCTTGGAGATTAACAAGCAGAAGTCTGATTGTGATACAAGATCGTCAATGCCAAGAAAGAACACTAAGAAGTAACAAAAACTTTTTAGCTTATGTTCCTTGCATAGTTGCATATATTCGAAGATCAAATGCATAAATTTATTTTCACATATATGAGGATGTCTTGGATCCTCACTAGCTGTTTAAAGTTCTTTATATTTAACTGTTTAAAGCAAAACACATCTATCAAATAACAATTAAATATTTTTTTTTTTCCCGTCAAAAAAAAAAATATTTAATTGTTATTTGATAGATGTGTTTTGCTTTGTGGCTTGTTCGGTTAGCATACAGATAGGAATTTTTCAAATGAATTAGAATCGATGTATGTAAGTGATGCATTGTCCTTGTTGCGTTACCTGGTTGAAAGTTGAAAGCCGTAGTGTTCTTTTTCCTTATAATTATGTACCTCCTAAATTGGACTCAAAACGTGCAAGGAAGGATCCTGAATAGCTTGTGAGTGCCTTTTGCATTAGATTTTAGTTCTGTTTCCTCTGTACTCCAACTCGCCAATGACCTTTCCAATTTGCCATACCCCTTGTGCATGCACATGTGTGATTTGTCTAACACTTAATAGAATTACTTGGATGTGATACTTGTATCAAGTAATTGGAAAAAGAAAGTGAAATCTATAGGAAAGTCAATCATGCATATTAGATACTTCTAATGTTCCCAGCACACTCGAAGAGCATGTATACATATAGATGGCTCTCAAATGTCATCAAGGATTGCAGCTCTGACTAGATCTTCTTGTTTGCTGTTCTACTTGTACTCATACATTGTTGAGTTTTGCTTCGAATAGTAGCTGTTGTAATTCTGAGAAAGCAGAGGCCACTGCCAATGTTTCCCTTATTTCACTTAAGTAGAGGTTTTCATATATGTTGAATGTTCCTTAAGGAGTTCCACTTCTTTGTTACCATTCTAAAGTTCTCCCTTCTTTCTTCAGGAAACTGTTGGATGATTTTCTTTCTACAGGATTCAAGCTCAAGCTATGACCTGATTGAGCTACTTTTGGGAATTAGTTCAGAACTATGTAATGGTAAGCCGTAAGCATGAAAGTCACATTGCTGTGATCTTATTTTTTTTGTTCTCATTAGCTTCTTTGAGTTATCTTTTTTTGTATACATATAGTAGAGATTGTGGTTTGATATCAGCTGATGAGATTTTCTCAATCACTCAGTCACTCCTTGTTTGATAAATCTTCAGGATGATGCCTTGAAATTGGGTAAATTGTATGGTCTTATTTAATTTGAAAAATACAGACCAAGCATGGAGCATAACTTATTGTATGCTTGATATTAGAAATATCATACTTGATGAAATTATGTCAACTCGTCAAGTTAAAGCTACACAAGATTGAACTCTCATACCGATTTTTGCATTTGAAAACATGAAAAGTAACTGTTTGAAAATACCGGAGAGGTTGTTCGGGATAGGACAAACTGATATTCAGGGGGAAGTGAGGGCTGGAATAAAAAGAGTTCAGAGTGTTACCTTACTAAAGTATGAAGAGGCTTTAGTTATTTACATCTCGTTTGACCTATGCTTATTAAGTTATTATGTTCAAGTGGTTCATTTATCAGTCTTTTGCTGGTTTGAGGAAGCGCAATACTTGTAAAATGAAATTCTAGGCGTTGTCCTCTCACGTTCACACTTGGCCATATGTCTCGCTAGTGAGGAAATTGGGAGTTTTTTTTTATTTATTTATTTAATTTTTTTTTATTTTGCATTGTCACGCAGTGATGTTTCCAATTTAATGTTTTGAGTTTATGAAATTAGAGAATAATCTATGCTCCTATGTCTTCCTCTCCGCACTTAGGATAGCACAAGGAATTTAGATCTAAATTAAGATAGTTTTATACTCTGTACAAGTTATGATTCGTAAGGGCCATGACTCCAGCAAGAAAGCTTGTATGTTCGTTGTTGGTAGAAGCTGTCTACAGTTCTATACTCAAGCTCAAGGTGGCCTTATTATCAAGTTTCTGACACACATAAAATATAGCAACTTTTATCATTCTATTAAATTTGTGAAGGAGAATTTGGGCTTTTTTCATGTATATTTTGTACTGCTCGTGCTAATATTAATTTGCTAGTCTCTGTGCAGTGTTAAGAATTCTGATTTGTGCACTTATGATTGTTTTTACGGTCATTTTGCTTTGACGGCTATCTTAATTTCAGAAGGCTGAAACATTTTTTTTTACTCTGTCCTCAGCGTCGAGTAACCCTTGGTTGAGGCTAACATTGGATCGAAGAGCATTGGATAAATGATTTCGGTATGAAGACCACTGCATGTTAGCTATGGTAGCTTTCTTTTGTCAATACATTTGTTATATCTGTCAACTACTCGTATGATATTGCGGGGGCGCCAATGCATCAACACTTCAGTACTTGTACGACCTCTAGTTATTTACTTATGTGTGTTTAATTTTGCTTTAATATGGATCAAAATTAATGCATTCTACTAATTAGGTGAAACTTTGTGTAAAATTAAGCTTGAGCAACCTACTACTACATGAGCTTGATCTCTCATATGCACCAAACAAGTTAAATTTTTAACGAGCCAAGTTCAATTTTGAGAGCTTTTGTGATTAATGGTGAATCTAAGATTTTCCAGCAAGGGTTAGCACCAATCATCAAAATACACTATTATGCTTTCTATAATTTAATGCGCATATTATAATTTCATACATGTCAAAGTATAATGTTAACCCTTAATATTTTTATTTTATATGCAGTACTCAAGTAAAAATTATTTAAATAACATAAGAGCAACTACAATGGTAAGCTAATTTGACAATTAGCTTGCCATGACACATAAGCTTTTAAGCTATTTATCATTTTAGCTACTTTTTGCTCCAATAGCTAGCTATCAGATTAGTAGTAGTCGTTGGATAGAAAATACATGGAAAGAACTTAATTGGTGCAGTGAACAAAGGCGAAGCCACTCTCATGTGAGAGGGTTCAATTGAACTCACTTGGATTCCAAAATCCAATGGAAAGTCAACAAAAAGCTGAAATTGTTGTTTAAGAAAATCCCCAAAGAACTTGAGTTGAACCCACATATCTTGCTTAATCACTCATAAATTACTTACTCCGTATTATATAAGGGAAGTTTTAGTGTCGTTTTCTTGCTGCACATTTTCTGTAAAGCAGGCAAATATAAATGGCATCTTTAGAACGGCATATATTGCAATACTCCTATGTCAAAGTGTGTAGAACTTTTTTTTTTTGACAGAAAGTGGTTAGAACATCATATACCTCAAACCCGCCAACATTGGTCAAATTTTGTTAACTTTGACTTTGACTTTATTGAACCCACTTGGACAAAAGTCTAAATCCGCCAGTGGCAATGAACATTTTATTTTGGCAAGTTTAATCCCAAGCAATTTTTTTATTTTTTTTTTAAGGAAATCCCATGCAAATTAGCTAATTGGTACAAATGCCCTCTCTAATTTGGGCACCAATGTATTTATCAATCTATCCATTTCATCTCACTTATTACAATAAAGGTGTCAAAAATAGATTCGACCAATCGATATATGTCGACACGTAAAAGCCCGATTCAAATTTTATTTGTATGGACATAATAATTTGGCATTGTTCAAATTTGAAAAATAGTTGATCTAACTTGGCCTAATCAAACTCGATCTAGTTTCCTAGATCATAAAATTGAAAATTAGTTGCAATGGTTATCAATTTCGGATCCCAATTTTATTTTTATTCTTTTTTTCACTTAGGATTAAGGTAATAATTTCTCTATTTTTATTTAGTAGACACATTTAAATTAGGCACACATATTAAGTAGAGGAGAAAGAGGATGATTAAGCAATTGGGGTAACACTAAGAAAAAAAAACTTAGGGCCTGTTCTCATTGACTGAACTGAGCTGAACTGAACTGAGCTGAGCTGAACTACACTGAATTTCAACTTAAGCCCTTTACCAAAAAGGAAATGTTTTAATTTAAAATAAACCTCATAAAAAGAAATATGTGTCAACTACAAAAAAAAAAGGTAAGATTTTTTTTTTTTGGGTAATGATATATGTAGCCTATTAGCACCTAGGACTATGTATATGCATCAAAACTTTCGAAAATGGAATTAAATTGAAAATTCATGACAAAATCATACACAAATCGGTGCAATTAATAGTAATTTATCCTTAATATTTCCTTTTAAGTTTCTTAGGTTTATCTCCTCCTGGTCAACACCAACTTAAGTATTTAACTTGGTTCGGACATCAGAGCTTCAGACAAGAAAGGAAAAAAAAAAAAAAAAAAAAAAAAAAAAACATACTCCATCAGTCAGCCATAACTTGACACCATATCTGCTAAACCCCTCAAACTTGAGCCCGAGCTCAAGCAACAATGGCGATACTCCCAACTGATTTAATCGCCATTATTCTCTCTAAATTACCTGTCAAAATCCTACTCCGTTTTCTATCCGTCTGCAAATCCTGGAATTCCTTAATTAAAACCCCCAATTTCATCAAACTTCACCTCAATCAAACCCTAATTTCCAACTCCGAACGTCATCTTCTTCTCTACTACCCTTTTCTATATTCTGCAGAGCTCGACACCCACCATGACCAAATCACCTTCTCGGAGCTCCACCACCCTCTCAACCCTCAGCAAGTTCACCTCTTTGGCTCCTGCAATGGCGTCATTTGCATCGCCGATCCCTCCAAAACCGACATTGTCTTGTTCAATCCGATCATCAAATCGTACCGTAATCTCCCTGTTAATCAAATTTCTGAACCTAATCTTGGTTATATGTTGTTTGGATTTGGGTACGATAGTAAGAACGACGATTACAAGGTTTTGTGTTTGGTTCAGGGGTTTACAGCTAACCAGGTTTTCTTCACTGAAGCGAAATTGTATAGTTTGAACAACAATTCATGGAAATCTGTTCAAGGTATCTCATTTTATATCCTTTATGCTGATTGTCATGGTATTCTTGTTAATGAGGCTTTACATTACATGGTGAACTCCAATGAAGTGGGTGGTTTAGAAGGTAAATTCATTGCTAAGTTTGATCTTCAGACTGAGAGTTTCTCGCTTATTGATTGCCCGAAATTGGTTGATGAGAGTGAGAGTAATTTGATGATACAAATAACAGAATTGGGTGGGTGTTTATGTGCTATGGTGAATTATCATAAAGTAATTATACTGGATGGTCTGAAACGTGTCGATTTTTGGGTAATGAAGGAGTATGGAAACAAAGAGTCTTGGGTTAAATTGTGTAGTATTGGCCAGGATTGTATTAGGAGTAATTTGCAGATCAAGCCTATTGTTTACTCCAAAGATGGGAAAAGGATTTTTCTGGAGATAGACTCTTTGAAGTTTGGTTGGTATGATTTGGAGTCCAATAATGTTGATAAATTTACACCTCATGGACTGCCCGGGGGAGCTTTGGAGACGGCGAGTTTTGTTGGCAGCCTTGTTTTGATCGGAAATGAGCTGTGTTCCGAAAAGGAAACCTTGCCAAAGAAGAAGAAGTAAGCTGAGTTATTAGCTATATCAATTTATTTATTTTTCTGTGCTTCCAAATTCAAATGTGCATTTTCTCTTAACAATGAGTTTGATCCTGTTTGCTTAAAAAGCTTTTTCTGTATTGTTCTGTGACTTGTTTGGTTGATATGTAGGGGAAATAACTAATAAATATTTACTAAATTACTATTGAATTGTAAGAGACGCTTATTGCTCTTGAGTCTTGGCTAAGCAATAGTCATAGTATAATGTTTAGCTAACTTATGTTTAGGTCGTTGCGAACCTATAGTAACATGTTAGCACATTGCCAAAAATCAATTGCTATTGCCTTTTATCAGGGATCTTGCTTACTTTATGGTATAAGGGTATTTACAATTTCCCTATGAAGTAGAGGCCATTACTGACAAGTTCCTCATCATGTCAAATTATTGTTTACTCAATTGTCTGAAGTAACTCTGAATGTTGCTTCAATCTTTAATCCGGGATTTCATCAGGAGTGTATTCAGAAGCTCTTAATAACTCCATTTTTTGTCAATTTTACTCTCAAAACTATTCTATTTATATACCATATTTATTTTGCATCTATTAGTAAGCTTTTGGAAGGAACATTTAGAATGTAATGTCAGTAATGAATTTTCTGACTCTCTCCCTACTTTTCTTCAGAATTTCTGTGGATAATTTTCTGTCTATGGGGTTCAAGCTGAGGCTATGACCTAATTGAAGATGTTACTGCTGGGAATGTGTTTAGAATTGTGTAATGTAAGTATGAAGCCATCTACATTAATTTGAATTTTCTGTTTGTATGTGTATTTTCGCTTCAGCCTTGTAGTAAATTTTCTATTTCTAAACATTATAAATCAACTAGGGTGTTCCCTTACACTTTGAAATGAATAGTAGTGTTTTTCTTTTTACTGATGTTGGGTGAACACTGAACAGCATATCGGAAATCTTCATTCATATTTGTAAATTCTGTAAGAAGGGTTCATTCAGAATTTAGATTGAACCAAAAAAAGACCTTCGACCTTGGTATGCATTATGTTAAATTCGTCAAACTAGGTGGTTTGTGGTTGTGTGGGATTATGCTTAGTATTGCTTTATTTACGTGAACTTTTGCTTTTCCAAAACTCTGTCTATTCTTCTATATCCCTATTGACCTATTTGTTGGCCTTGCTAAATTTGTAAACTGAGATATTCCTGTATGAGTATGATACTTTACGAATTCCAGGGTGTGCAGTGCGACTTTGTTATGTTATGTTATGTGTGATTAGCTGTATCGTAAATGCTTCTTTTATTTGTTCAACAATTAGCTAATGCTTTAGAACTCTAAGGAACCCTCCCCTTGGAAAAGATACAGTGAAGGATACAGAAACTCAGGATGGGAACTGGCCAGGACAAAATTGATATATGTTGGGATTGGAGAAGAGTTCTGAGTAAGGCTTTCGTATATATTTCTCATGATTCTTGCTTGACAAATTCTTGCTATGTTCAATTGGTATAGACATATGGGAGTGTTCCTCTAAATGCATGTAACTTGGTGAAAGTATATCAATGACTAGCTCATTTACATAGTTTTTCAACACTTCCTCTACAATTTGGGTTGCACTTAAAGCTGTGTAATCACTACTAATTTTATTTATTAATTTTTTTTAAAAAAAGGCCCCTAAATTGATTGGTTTTTATATGCACTGGATACTTGAGCAAGAAAATTTGTGCTACTTGGTTGCTATTAATTGTAGGGAACATTATGGTTTACAGGGGGTGCAGTGTTGGAGCATTAACAGCATAGTATGGTCTAACCATTGTGTACTATGCAGGTCTTAGAGTTGTGAGTCTTTGATAGTTGAGACTAACAATAGTTAAGCTCTTCAATCATCTTAAGGAGAACTAAGGGGAAGAAAAATTCTGGTTTTGGTACTATTGTTTATGATATTCTTAATATTGCTTCTAGGTTCTCTCATGTTTCTTTCTCAAATTTCAAGAGAGATGGAAACTTGTTTGTTCATGGTTTAGCTAAGTTGCGCCTCATATTAGAGAGGAGTGGGTGCAATTAGAAGTTCCAAGGGAAGTTAACGAGTTATACTGTAAAGTGAACAAAAGGATAATCAAATTATTTAAATATTTTGCACACTTGAATTTATGTTGGTCTCGTAAGTCGTAACATAAAGAATTATAAAAGTCAAAAATATATCTTTATGGCTCCTCTATGTTCTGCCTGTAGTAGAACTCTGATGAAGGCTGGATTAAACTTACCAACTGATTTTTCTCTCTTTAACTTTTGTGATTTTCAGATTATATAAGGACTAATTAGTAGATTGGTGATATGAGGGTGAGATAATTGGTGTCAATTTTAATGTGAACTTTGCAGTATCTAGCTGGCTGGCTTACATTGGAAAGGGGCATTGTGAATATTTAGTTTTGCTTGTGGCATTAGCTTTGTTGATTTTTTGTGTGTCCACTCTTTCTACTTCTTCCACTTACAACAATAGCTTGTTCGCCAATAAACCATATTAGCACAATCTTGTTTATGATTTGTATTTCCTGTACTTTGCCTGGGTATTTCTTGCAAATGGCAGTGCTCTTGTTGATAATTTTGATAATTGCTCCTCTTTGCAACTTTGAGTTTTTTTTTTCATTGCTGCTCTTGTCGACTTAATTGTTGGTCTTGTTGATGGTTATATTTGGATCACTTAAACTGACATTTGCCAATGTGTTCTTTTGTCGGAATAACAGATGGCTAAGGCGACGATTAGAGCCCTACCTTTTATGATTTTTACATGAAGAGACAGAGAAAAGGGCCATTGCAAGGATGTGGAAGCATTTCTTGTTGTAAATTTATTAATATATACCATCTGTAGTACTTATGGTGAAAACTTCTATTGGGGAAAACTTTATGCTACTTAATCTGCTACAGCAATTATTGTAACTTGACTAGAGTTGAGTAGAGCTGTCAAAGTTGACCCGATCCGAAATACCGACTGAAACCCGATTATTAACCAACCCATCTGAACCCTAAAAAATGGTGACCCAAACCCGATCTGAAACCAACCCTAGACCCAAGTTGACTTGAGTATGTGAGACTCGAACCCGAACATGAACTGGTCTGAGATGACTTGACCTAAATGTAACTCGTAAATTATTGACCTAAACCGAACCCGATTTGAACCGAAATTGACCCAAGCTCGTTTTAAACAGTCAAAATCTGAATTTAACCCGATTTGTTACAAACCTGACCCGAATTCAACCCGACCCATACCTAACCGGACTCGAATTTAACCCAACATGTTACAAATTCGACCCGAAATCAACCCGGCTTGTTATTGACCTGATTCAAATACAACCTAACTTGTTATTCACTCGTCTCGAATTTTACCCTGACCAAAAAATTCAACCCGATCTGTTACAAACTCGACTCGAAATCAACACGATTTGTTATTGACCTAATTTAAATTCAACTCAAATTGTTCCTAACCCGATTTTAAATCACCTTAAATGCAATTTAGACCACCTTATTATTGTTGATCAAAACATTTTGTCTAAGGAGACCAAGTCGGTCCAGCCAGCAGAAGAAAGGAGCAACATCCTCAAATTTAAGAGTTAAATTTAGTATATATTTGTTGTATAGTCAAAGGAGATAATTATTTTCCTAAATTATAAACTATAGTTTCCAAATATATTGTCATATATATTATAGTCAAAGAAAATAATTAGCTTGATAAAAATGATAGTTATCTACTACCTCCGTTACAGGTTATGTGCAACGATTTGACATAAATCAGAGAGGTAAAATGTCTAATCGTTGCACATAACCTGTAACAAAGGTAGTATTTATAATTAGTTGAAGCCAAATATGACCTGACTTGGAAATGACCCGGCCTGATTGTAACCTACAAATTATTAACTTGAATATAACTCGACTTCAATCCGAGAATCACCTGACTTGGAAATGATCCAACCTGATTATAACCTGCAAATTATTACTTGAACCGAACCCGACTTTAACCCAAGAATGACCCGACCTAATTATAACCCGCAAATTATTGACTTGAACCGAACCCGACTCAAACCCGACCTGATTCTAACCCGCAAATTATTGACGCTAATCGAACCCGACTCGAACCAAAGAATTACCCTAACCTGTTTTAACCCGTGAAAACCCGAATTAAGCCCGACCTATTGTTCACCCGACTCGAATGTAACCCGACCTGTTATTAACCCGACCCAAACCCTATAAGAAGTATGACCCGACTCAAGCATGGCCCAACCCAAACCCGAATCCCATAGGTTATGGAATTAATCCAAATTGACTCGACCCGAGTGGACCCGACCCACTCTTACCGACCTAAACCCGACCCGATTACTCGAATTAACAGCTCTACCCAAAACCTCCAAAATTTCTCAAAAGCGTGGATATTAACCTTCAATTTTTGAATTTTTTGACTTTTTTTCACCCGAAAATAAAAATTGCCGAAATGTTTACCATGGTCCCTAATACCCTCCGGAAGTCCAAATGGCTAGGTGGAACCATCCAATTTGCCTTTAAACGAACAATTTATCGGTTTACAACTTGCACCGATTTCATTAACTCAAGCTTACCATGAACATTTATGACAACATATAATGATCATATATGGATCCAAACGACATTATATGACCCCGAGATGTATCCCTTAAAATCTCAATGATTTTCGACACCGGGCCCTGAAACATTCGAAATTTCTCAAAAAGCGTGGATATTAGCCTTCAATTTTGGAATTTTTTGACTTTTTTTTCGCCCGGATATAAAAATTGTCGAAATGTTTACCATGGTCTCAAATACCCTCCGGAGGTCCAATTGGGTGGGTGGAACCATCCAATTTGCCTTAAAACGACCAATTTACTGATTTACAACTTGCACCGATTTCATCAATTCAAATCTACCACGAACATTTATGACAACATATAATGATCGTATATAGTTCCAAACGGCATTAAATGACCCCAAAATTTATCCCCTAAAATCTCAAGCCTTTTCGACATCGGGCCTGAAAACCTCTAAAATTTCTCAAAAAACATGGATAATCTCAAGCCTTTAATTATGGAATTTTTTTGACTTTTTTCACCCTTAAATAAAAATTGTGGAAATTTTTACCATGGTCCCTAACACCATCTGTGAGTCCAATTGGGTGGGTGGAACCAACCAAGTTGTCTTTAAACGGCCAATTTACAGATTTACAAGTTGCACCGATTTCATTAATTTAAGTCTACCACAACCATTTATGACAACATATAATGATCATATATGGTTCCAAAACGCAATATATGACCCCGAGATGTATCCCCTAAAATCTCAAGACTTCCCGAAACCTCCAAAATTTCTCAAAAAACATGGATATTAGCCTTCAATTTTGGAATTTTTTGACTTTTTTCGTCCGGAAATAAAAATTTCGTCTAATACCCTCCGAGAGTCCAATTTGGTGAGTGGAACCATCCAATTTGCCTTTAAACGACCAATTTACCGGTTTACAAATTTGCAATGATTTCATTAACTCAAGCCTACCACGAACATTTATGACAACATATAATGATCATTTATGGTTCCAAATGACATTTTATGACCCCAAGATGTATTTCCTAAAATCTCATTTCATTTCGACACCGGGCCCCGAAACTTTCGAATTTTCAAAATAAATAATGGATATTAACATTCAATTTTGGAATTTTTTTACTTTTTTCGCTCGGAAGTTTAAATTGCTGAAATGTTTACCATGGTCCCTAATGCCCTCCGAGAGTCCAATTGGGTGGGTGGAACCATCCAATTTGCCTTTAAACAACCAATTTTACCGGTGTATAACTTGCACCGATTTCATTATTCAAGCCTACCACGAACATTTGTGACAACAAATAATGATCATATATGGTTCCAAACGGCATTATATAACACCAAGATGTATCCCATAAAATTTCAAGACTTTTCGACATCGGACCCCAAAACCTCCAAAATTTCTCAAAAAACGTGTATATAAAAATTGCTGAAAATTCGAAAGATTTTGACTTTTTTTCGCCTAGAAATAAAAATTGCTGAAATGTTTACCATGATCCCTAATTCCTTTCGGAAGTCCAGTTGAGTGGGTGGAACCATCCAATTTGTCTTTAAACGACCAATTTACCAATTTATAACTTGCACCGATTTAATTAATTCAAGCCAACCACGAACATTTATGATAACAAATAATGATCATATATGGTTCCAAACGGCATTATATGACCCTAAGGTTTATCTCATAGAATTTCATGACTTTTCGACAGTGGGCCTCGAAACCTCCAAAATTTCTCAAAAATCGTGGATATTAAGTCTTCACTTTTTTAAGTTTTTGACTTTTTTTCGCCTGGAAATAAAAATTATTGAAATGTTTACCATGGTCCCTAATACCCTCCGGGAGTCCAATTGGGTTGATGGAACCATCATGTTTGCCTTTAAACGGCCAATTTAATTATCGATTTACAACTTGCACATATTTCATTTACTCAAGCATACTACGAACATTTATGACAACATATAATGATCATATAAGGTTCCAAATGGAATTATATGACCCCCAAGATTTATTCCCAAGAATTTCAATATTTTTCGATACCGGGCCCCGAAACCTCCAAAATTTCTCAAAAGCGTGGGTATTAGTCTTCAATTTTGGAATTTTTTTGACTTTTTTCGCCTGGAAATAAAAATTGCTAAAATCTTTACCATGGTCCCTAATACCCTTTGGGAGTTCAATTGGGTTGGTGGAACCATCCTAAGCTATTTGCCTTTAAACGGTCAATTTAATTACCGGTTTACAGCTTGCACGGATTTTACTAACTCAACCCTACTACGAACATTTATGACAACAAATAAAGATCATATATGGTTTTAAACGGCATTATATGACCCCAAGATGTATTCCATAGAATTCAAGACTTTTTGACACCAAGCCCTAAAACCTCCAAATTTTCTCAAAAAGCGTGGATATTAGCCTTCAAATTTGGAATTTTTTTATTTTTTTTCGTCTGGAATTAAAAATTGTTGAAATGTTTACCATGGTCCCTAATATCCCCCGGGAGTCCAATTGGATGTGTGGAACCATTCAATGTGCTTTTAAACGGCCAATTTACCAGTTTACAACTTGCACCGATTTACCGGTTTACAACGGCCAATTTAATCAACTTGCATCGAACCCGACTTGAACCGAAATTGACCCAAACCCGTTTTAACCCTTCAAAACCAGAATTTAACCTGACTTTTTACTAACCTGACCTGAATTCAACCCGACCCGTCCTTAACCCGACCTGAATTTAACCTAACCTATTACAAACCCGACCCGATATAAACCCGATTTGTTATTGACTTGACCCAAATTCAACCCGAATTGTTATTAACCTGGCCCAAATTTTACCATATCTATTACTTACCTAACCCAAAAATGCAACCTGATCTGTTACTAACCCGACTCGAAATTAACACGACTTGTTATTGACCCGACTAAATTCAACCAAAATTGTTCCTGACTCGATTTCAAATCACCTTAAATGTAATTTAAACCACCTTATTATTATTGATCAAAGCATTTTGTTTTGGGGGACCAAGTCAGTCCAGGACAGCAAAAGAAAGGAGCATCATCCTCAAATTTAAGACTAAAATATAGTATATATATATATTGTATGGTCAAAGGAGATAGTTATCTTTCTAAATTATAGACTATAGTTCCCTAGTATATTGCCATATATATTATAGTCAAAGGAAATAATAGCTTGATAAAAATAATAATCATCTATTCATAATTAGTTGAACTCGAATATGAACTTACTTGAAAATTACCCAATCTGATTGTAACCTGCAAATTATTGAATTGAACATAACCCGACTTGAATTCGAGAATGACCCGACTTGGAAATGACCCAACCTGATTATAATCCGCAAATTATTGACTTGAACTCGAAAATGACCTGACTTGAACCCGAAAATGATCTGACTTGAAAATGACCCAACCTGATTATAACCCGCAAATTATTGACTTGAACCGAACCCGACTCAAACAAGAGAATGACCCGACCTGATTCTAACCTGCAAATTATTGACTTGACTCGAACCCGAGAATTACCCTAACCCGTTTTAACCTGTGAAAACCCGAATTAAACCCGACCTATTGTTCACCCGACCCTAATGTAACCTGACCTGTTATTAACCCGACCTAGACCCGACCCAAACCCGATAAGAAGTATGACCTGACGTGACCCGACTGAAGCATGACCCAACCCAAACCCGACCCGCATAAGTTATGGAATTAATCTGAATTGATCCGACCATAATTGACCCGACCTAAACCCGACCCGTTTACCCGAATTGACTGCTCTAGAGTTGAGGTTGAACAAGCTGATCCTCTACAGCTTTTTAATTGGAAAAATTAACATAAATAATCCGAAATATTAGTCCCCTTCTCATTTTAATCTCAACTAATGTTTAAATCGGAATAATCCCAACTATAAGGGTCCCTTCTCAAATTAGTCCCTCTTACCTACAACCTATAATACATGTATTTTTTTTTTTTTTAAAAAAAAACTTTTATAAGAGAATAATCAACTTTATATTTATTTATTTATTTAGTTTATTATTGTCACCCACCAGCGTTCACCCTCAACCTCAACCCAACCATAGCCACACTTAGCCAACCACTAGTCCACCAACCCAAATCTTGCAACCACCATGGAACCACCACCTCTTCACTACCACAATGCAAGACAACCACGACCGTATACCACAACAATAACCCCATCCACCATCTTTGTATCACCCACCTCTCCCCTCCCTCAACCAGTGGCCCCCCCCCAACCACCTAACCCCACCTATATCCAATTTGCTACCTCGCCAATCCGCCATCAACCGCGTCTCCTCCCCCTTCTGTGCATCCCATTTCATCTCCTCGTCCAACCGCTCTATTCCTCTCCCCTCTCTCAAATCGCCTCCATTTTCTCTCATATCTCCTCTTCCTGTTCAACAGTCGTTGGTGTGATTAATGTCGATGGTTAGTAGCGCTTGATGGTGATTCATGGCCGGGGTGGTAGAAATGATGGTTTCGGTGGATGGGCTTGGCTGGAAAGATTCTTTAAGTTGCTGGGGGTGGATGTTAAGGTGGTTGCTGGGGGTGGATGTTAAGGTGGTTGCTGGGGGTGGATGTTAAGGTGGTTTTAGTGGAAGGACTAGGTTGGGTAGGTGGTGAGATCGGAACATTTAGAAGGTGGTGGTATGAATTTAGATTTAAGAGGATGTAGGTTTTTTTTTTTTTTTTTTTTTTTTTTTTTTTTTTTTTTTTTTTTGGGGGGGGGGGGTAATTATAATAATGTGAATAATAAAACAAATAATATGTTGAAAAATGGCTCTATTTACCTGATTAATTGGTTAACAAAAGTTTGAAACTAATTTAGGAAGGGACTCTTATAGTTGGCATTATTCTGATTTAAAAAGTGGTTGGGAAGTACAGCCAAAAAACGCAAAAAGAACATGTAACTATTTTGAAAATAACATACAGTTATTTTGTAATAAACATATGTAATATTAATAAAGAACACGATAATATTATGTAATAAACATTAGATTTCATTCATACGATTAAAATGAGAAGGGAGCCAATAGTTTGGATTATTTTTTGTTAATTTTTCCTTTATTGGTATCTTTTTATGAAATAAAGCTTACCTTTTGAAGTCAAGTGAATAAGTGCATTTGGAATGTATATTATTAACTTGTCCTCAAAACAAATTGTCTGGGCTCATCCCCAAGTCTATTGGATTACTTTCAAGCTTGACGTTTTAAAACTGAAACAATTCAATTGAAGGGAAAATTCTAGAGACATCAAACAAGTTTAGAGGTTTGATAATTCTGGAACTTAGTGAAATAAGCTATTAGGGGAGAAGCCAAGGTTTAGTGCAAAAACTCATCCCTCTCTTCTGATTATCAGATAACAAGTAAATCAACTTCTTGGAGCAATTGCAGTGCCACTTTGCTCACTCCGTTGGCTTCACATCTCTTTACTCACTCATCCGCATATTGGCATTGCAAAATTTGCAATATTACGAGTATTAACCAATTGTAATATACAGGTACACTGTAACAACTGTAAGCAGGATCTATTCATAAACTATAACTCCATGTTGAAAATGATCAACAAGGTTTATCCAAAAAACATCAGTCAAATCAAACAAAACTTAACTAGAGTATTTTACAGTATTTTAGACCCATAATTTGAGGTCAATCCAAGATATAAAAAGTACTTAAACTAATACCCCTAACTCAAAATTTCCTTCCTATTTGATCAGCCTAGAATTGTATCTAATCAGTCTCAGCCATAGCTTACTCCTCTTCAACAATCCTTCCCTTCTCGCTGACATAGATACCGTCCAAGAACTTCCTGATATCCTTGTTCTTAACATGACATTTCTAATCAAATACATACATGACAATTAGAAAACTTGTGATGCAGAGTCAAGAATAAAATGCAACCACAAATAATAATAATGAAAAAAAATAAAAAAAAAATACCTGGTTAATTAAAGCAGCAGATCGAGAAACAAGTTCAATGTCGCTTCCATCCAAGACAAGCTCATCCTTAACCTTCTCGGATCTCAAGATAGTAACACCGTCCAACATGTCAACCTTCCTGACCTGAAAACATTTAGAGGTCAGTAAAGAAAAATAGTTTGCATCAATGGGGAGTAGAAATCATAAATCAATAACAATGTTCAACTCCTTTAACGTTTACTCATAATATAATTAACAATTGTGTTGATAAATTTATAAACTTTCTAGCTTCTTGCATCCACGAGCATAAGAAATGAATGGAACGAGAATGGATGATGTATGAGAAAATCAGGAAAGCAAAAAAAATACTACACATAAGAGAACCTCATTTGATCATTTGGAGCTCTACCAAATAAGGAAATGTGCCCGAAGTACTCGATTGTAATCAAAGGTACAATAGAATTGTCGAATCAATACTGAGTTCCTTAGCTCTCTAAATCAAAGACGCGGTTCTTCTATAAGGAATTGGAAAAAAAATATATATTGTATTCAATCCTAGTTCTTGTTGCAATTTGTCTAAAATCAATTGAATAATTCCTATTGAATATTCTGGTGTACACTTACAATAAGAGATTCGATTGGATTGGGATTATGATGGCAATTTTAACTTACTGAATTCTGTGACAATTCTTATGATGCATAACTATAGTTCAACCAATTGTTATGTTTCATCACCAGAACTGTACTACCCATTCTAATCTCACTAAAACATATAAAATGATCTAAATCATGAATCAAAGCAAAAACAGTCAAATATGATAACAAACAATTCTGGAAAAGGTCAACAAATTAGCAATTCAAATTACTCTTCAAATTAAATAAACAAAATGATAATATTATAAAAACAGAACAAAAATCGATCCTTTTAATCAAGAAGCAACCAAAAAAATTAACTGAGAAAAAAAAAGATTACCCTCTTCTCGCCGAGAAAGTTACGGATCTCAATACTCTTGTTAGAGTTAGTAATACTGGCATTGATGGGAAAATGAGCATAAACCATCCTCATTTTGTAGCGATAACCCTTGGTAACACCGGTGATAAGATTCTCAATGTGACTGATAGCAGTACGAATAGCAGCTGAAGTTTTCCTGGTTCCAAACCATGAATCAATGTTCAGCTTCCTCTTACCTTCTTCATCAGTAACCAATTGGAAATCAAGGTTCAGATGCTTGAAGTTGCGGGTGAGGGTGCCCCTTGGTCCTGAAACGACGATGATCTTAGCGTCGACCTTGATGTCGATCCCATCTGGGATTTCCATGGAGTCAGAGGATAGTACTTGCTTCATTGTTGAGGGTGTCTGGTTTTTCTCTCTCCTAGGGTTTTTCTCTCTCCTAGGGTTTTTTTCCGATGAAGAACAACAGGCGTTGGGGTGGAGGTGGACTGAGAAATCAGGATTATTGATAGAAGGGATTATGGGCTGGATGGAATATACGAAGGTGTTGTGTTGTTTGGGCTTTGCCTTTCTTTGTTTTTGTTTGTTTTTTATTGGTTTTAATTAGATAAAGGGCTTATTCTCTTACGTTGAAACTCGGTTCAGTTCAGCTTCCAATTTCCTTCTCTTATAAAATATTCATTTCACTTCAGTTTAGCTCCCAATTTCCTTCTCTTATAAAATATTCAGTTCAACTCAGTTCGAACTCAGTTGAACTGAACTGAACTGAACTGAATATTTTATAAGAGAAGAAAATTAGGAGCTGAAGTGAACTGAACTGAACTGAGCTGAACTGAATATTTTATAAGAGAAGGAAATTAGGAGCTGAACTGAACTGAATATTTTATAAGAGAAGGAAATTAGGAGCTGAGCTGAGCTGAACTGAACTGAATTGAGCTGAACTGAACTGAATTTCAACGTAAGAGAACAGACCCTAAGTCTCGTGTTACACACGATTTTTACAAAATTTTATAATGAATTATAATGTTAATTGAAAATCTACCAAAAAATATTCTCATATTTATAAATGAAATTGAAAAAGTTTGAATCTTAATTTATGCCCGTAATTGAGCCTCAAATCTTGATGTTTGTTTTAGTATTATGTTATCGATTGATTAGTTTTAAATCTTCTACGGGATTAGCCCCGTGTTGTCTTGAAAAATACATGAAAATTAAAAGTATATTAAAAAAAATTGTTGCAAAATGTACTCAAATTATGGACTAAAAGACATATATGGCCGTACAACAGAGTAGTTTAGATTTTCTAGTATGGTTTAGATTTTCTTTAAAAAAGTTTAACTTACAAACATTAGTCAAGAACTCAAGATCAAGTGAATAGTGCAAAAATTGCCAATAAAGCATTTATTAATACAAAGGGAATATGAGGTGTGGTACATAATATTAGATATATACGTACATTAAGCATACTTTAAATTTCAAAAAAACATGTGTAACAATCTTATTAACATTAACATGTTTTGACAATAGAGAATAATAACACAAATTACCATTTTTTTTTTGTGTATGATTTATCATGTAAATCATGGTTGAATTAGCCTCTTTATACATTTTTCCATATGTAAGCTTTAACTTGAAACGAAATGTTTCGCGGTATTTGTTTTCAAATTCCACACACATAGCAATTAACAATAAAGAGTGAAGAATATCCTACGTGGTTAGACCGTTAGAGCTTCTTTCTCTGTTCGATTTTTACCATTCGCCTTTATGATAGAATTTGTTAAATACATCCGGGTGTACGGTGTACTATATAACCGACGGGTGTACAGAACAGACTCTCCCTCTATAGCTCTCTAAAAAGTAAACACCAAAAATATATTAAAAATATAATAATAATAATAATAATAATACGTTTCAAAAAAAAAATAATACCAAAAACCCAAAAAAAAGGGGTTGTTAAACACCGCGCTCGATTCTCAAATTAACGCCCACAAATTAAAGAAAAATTATTTTACGAATTTACCCTTGAATATAAAAGGAAATTCATCATCACAGTCATAATACGTAAGTACCACCCACCCTCACTCCTTATCTCTAAACCACCACCACCTCATCCTTTCACCACCAACCACCGCCTCCTTTTAACACAGCCACTTGATCTCACGGAAATGCTGAGGAAGTGAGGAGGGATAAGGCCATCGTCAATGATATGGGCTGAAACACCCTTTTTTTTCCGAAAAACTATGGCAGCAACGTCTAGATATTTCGAACCACCACTAGGCATTCGAGATTTTTGGGCGTTTGAGGATGAAACGCCCAGAAATTTCGATCGTCCAACGGTTGTTCGAAATATCTAGACGTTTCCTCCATGGTAATTCTTAAAATATGGACGTTTTGAATCTGTTTTGATTTCATATTTGGGTAAAGTCAAGGAAATTGATTTCGTGATTCCAATTCAAGACAAAGCAATATATACATTTTATTAGAGGAATGTTAGGCAGATTGTCATCAGCTCACTGATTGCTATGAATAAGTAAACTAAATATATACTAACCTTAAATATTGCTACTGATTTGCTAGGAATACGTTCACTGAATGCATACTAACTATACATACTTTTCTTTTCTTTTTTTAGGGAACTAACTATACATACATATATACACTCAAAATGAATATATATAAAATATGCTAACATAATAAAGTTCTTGTGTTGTTATAATTCTGTCTGTTACTAATTACTCATTATTATAGCTCTTAATTTCTTATTCTGTTAGATTTGTTCCTATTATTATTATTATTGTTATAAAAAAATTTTGGACGGTAAAAGCGTTAAGTTGAGGTAAATTATACGAAGTATTTTTTATAACAAGGGTAAAAATATAATTTTAAGTTATAATACGGGCGTTAGTTGGAGATTCGAGGGCGAGGTTTAGCGTTCCACAGATAAAGAGTCGTTGATTTCTCGTCTTTCCAGTTCCCACTACAAATATATTTGCAGCTCTAATCAAACCCAGAGGCCAGAGCTCAAGCTAGAGCAACAATGGCGGCACTCCCTACTGAGATTATCACCGAAATTCTCTCACGATTACCTGTTAAATCACTTCTCCGCTTCAAATGCGTTTGCAAACCCTAGAATTCCTTAATCAAATCCCCTAATTTGATCAAAATTCACCTCAATCAAACCCTAATTTCCAATTCCGATCGTCATCTTCTCATTTCTTCAGAAAACGTCTCTCTTCATTCTGCGGAGCTTGACCCACATCGTAACCACGTCTCTTTCTCGAAGCTCAATCATCCTCTTCAACGCCGCGACGTCGTGTTCTTTGGTTCCTGTAACGGCATACTCTGTTTCTCATCAAAAATCGACATTTTATTGTTCAATCCTCTCATCAAATCATGTCGTAGGTTGCCCTCTAATTACATTCCAGAACCTTCTATGGGTTCGGTCTGGTCCGGGTTCGGGTATGACAGCAAAAACGACGATTACAAGGTTTTGAGGATGATTCAAAAGTATATAAATGACAAAGTTTACTACAATGAAGCCAAAGTATACAGTCTCAACAAATAATTCATGGAAAAGTATTCAAGGTATTCCATATTATATCTTTTGTGAAGATTATCATGGTGTTCTTGTTAATGAGGCTTTACATTATACTGTGATTACTAATGAATCGGATTTGGTATGTAATTTCATTGCGAGTTTTGATCTTAACACTGAGAAATTCTCACTTATTGAATGCCCCAATTATAATGAAAATTCTAGGAGTGATTTGGTGCCACTTTTGTTGGAAATGGGTGGGTGTTTATGTTTGGTGGCTAATCATCACACAAGTGCTCTTTATCACCCTCCTCCTAATAACTGTGTGCTGACTAATCCTCTAGTCGAAAGTGTCGATATTTGGATGATGAAGGAATAAGGAATGAAAGAGTCTTGGGTTATGTTGTTTAGAATTTGCCAGCTGCAGAGTTTAGGGATTTATTATGTACAGATTAAGCCGGTTTTTTACTCGAAAGACGGGAGGAAAATTTTGATAGAGATAGACTGTAAGGGACTTGGTTGGTATGATTTGAAGTCCAAAAGTGTTGAGCGACTCAGAGCTCATGGTATTCCGAATGGATTTATGGAGATGACGTATTTCGTGGGCAGCCTTGTTTCCCTTGAAGAGAAGCAGCATCAAGAGAAGAAAGCCTTGCCAAAGAAGAACAAAAAGAAGTATGCATATTTATTCTTGCTGTCAAATCCAGATGCATGTTTTTTTTTTTTCCCCTTAATTTATACCTTTGAATGCTATTCTTATTGCTCTCAAAACATGTTAAACATATCCTAGTTGTTCTATGACTTGTTTGTTTCGTGTTTGCTATGCAAAGAACGAAAATTCCTTATAGCTTACTATTGATGTCTGAAACAAATGCCAGTTTCTATTAGCTTGGAAATAGTGTTATTTAAATGTTATATATTTGGCAAAAACACAATTCATGGTAAGGCAGCTGCTGACGTATTGTAAGTGCATTTCTCTCATTCCACCAAAGTATGGATTTAATTTTTTAATCTTCTGCATGTGTTTGTTGAAGCAGATTTAAATTAATGAATTTGTAGTATTCTCTATTAGAAAGCATTGCTAATATCTTGGATGGGCTATTTGTATGCAATTATTGCTATGGACTATTCTGAATCGCTTCTTTTTTTTCAGGAATGATTTGGATGATTATCTTTCTGCAGGGTTCAAGCTGAGGTTGTGACCTAGAAGATGCTACTGCTTGGGCTTTATTTGGAACTGTGTTATGTAAGTGTAAAAGCTGTCTTTCATCGGTCTCAACACCCCCCCCCCCCCCCCGCCCCCCCTTTTTTTTTTATAAAGGCTGTTATAGTACTGTAAATTGATGTTGTGGTTAAGTTGACAAAATGCATAAAAAAAAAATCATTATCCTGGATGATCAAATTATTATTTTACATACTCCATAAGTAAACATCATTTCCTGGTCCTAATGAAGTATTACAATCATTGGGTAAGCCATCATCCCAGTTCCTACTATGTACTGGCATCTGAGTCCTGTGATCGGGTCTGACTCCTTCACTTGTTCATTCTTGACACATGTACACAAATGTTCCTTCTAATTGTTGGTGTAACTTCCTGCATGATGCATATAGGTTAGACTAACCATCGAAGATTAGGTTCTCATTGTTGCCCTTTTATTCCTTTTTATAGTCTGAGAGGATTGTTTAATCTTGCCAACCATTTGTTTGTCAAAATCCATTTTAGTGCCTCTTTAATCTGCCACAATAGTCATGGCTTGGCAGTTGCTCCCTAAGCACCAGTGTTTCAAGTTACTTTCAACAACTATTGAGTTAGGCCTCAATAACCTGTTGACATGACCTTTTTTAATTTGCTTCATCACTTTTGCGCCATTTTTTTTTTTATTATATATTTGGTCTAAAATACAAAGTACTTATTTGTTGAGCTATCATAACCTTTCCTTTGAAAGTGATCTGTCGGATTAGTGTTTGCTGGGCTGTTAATAGGCTGAACAGAAAATCTTATTTTACCTTTACTATAAAGATACAAAAGTACTCAGAAAAGTCATAATGTTTGGTTTTGGAATCATAAATCTATGATTAAGGATGTATTACAAATTGAAAAACTGCATAATTTAGGCTAAAATACAAAATAAGACCAATCTTAGATCTTTTTGGGCATGGTTTTTGTTGACTCGAATGAACAATACAAGAAGGGGGGGGGTGAATTGTATTGTTGAGGAAGTAGGGTAATTTTTGCGGAATTCTTAAAGAAACTTAAACAAAAACTTTAAAGTGCAAGAGAGATTTTACGTGGAAAACTTTACGTGGAAAACTTCTTGGCCCTAATCAAGAAGAAAAACCACGACCACAAGGGATTTTAAACACAACTCTTAATAATAATAGGGCAAACAACCTATTACAAATTAAGACTCTAAAGTCAAGTTCCTCAACGAACTTAATCAGTTGAGCTCTCGAATTTCTCTCTTTCTCTTTGCTTCACTCAAAGCAATTTAAACACTCTAGAGTTTACCCAAACTCTACCCCAATACAACTCAAGATAAAACTCCTAAGATGCTAAGTACAAAGACACTCAAGGACTTAAGTGGATTTTTGACTCTTTTAGAAAAGCTAAGAATTTTAATGCTCAAGTGTACCTTGTCAACAAAAAAACTGATTCTATTTATAGGAGAAAAGGAAAGTTAAAAACCTATCCGTTTGCCTCAACTTCCACTAAGCCACATCCTCCATGAAACTAGGTAGTGCAGTTTGTGGGAGCTTGGGCAGCAAGTAAAACGATTTATCAGAAAGTGTTTTACTGGCTTCCTAATTTTTCTCAACTTCCTTTGACAAAGTAAATCACACGTTTGAAGGATTATTCTCCAAGTCAGATTTTCCAAATAATGAGATAGAATTAAAACAGAAAATCTTTTTAACAAAAAGAAGATAATTTAACTCAAAAAGATATTTTTCGAAAATAACTAAGTTAAAAGATGGAAAATAAAATCTTTAATAAATAAAATCAAATCCACTTAAACCCTATCAATTAGCCATGTACTTAACATATATACAAGAAGCCTAAAATAAACAGTAAAGATACATTAGACTCCTTGACACACTGTGAAGCTTCGACTCTGGAGCTTCAGTTCCTCACTCAAGGAACTTGGCTTCTGATTGTCTTCTATGCTCGTCCATAGCTCATCCTTAGACCTTGTTCCATGCTCCATTCTGACTTTAGAACTTCGTTGCATATAAAACCTGTTAATACATCAAAGCTAATAGACCAAAGTTAAAGCTCCTATGGGTTTGCTTAGGTTCCTTGAGTCATCATCAAAACTTAAGATCAACAGTTTTTAAAGTTTCAAACCCTCGAACTAGATGGAAAGCACAACCACTCCTCCCTCCCCAAAAGGAGTGATTGTAAATTTAAAGCAAGGGAGCATTAGGCTAGGACAGGATTGATATTCAGAGTAAAGTGAGGAATGGAAAAGTGTTCCAAAGAACATTAGAATTATATTAGATTACTCTAATCAATTGGTTTGTGTCAATCAGCATTTTGAGAATAAGATGTTTCCTTTAAATGCCTGTGACTTGTTTGTGAGAGTATCCTTTCTAATGTTTGTGGTCTTTTGTTTGTTAATTTGCGAATTTCATTTTTGAAATTTGGATATCAATTATACTTCTCTGCAATTAGGGCTTAAACAATAAAGTTGGCATGGATCTATTATACTAAGAGGGCCCGTTGCTTTAGTGATTCTTATTTGTTTAAGGCCAGGGCGCCTTGAGTTTCTAAGAAAGTTTGTTACATCCTAATTGAGAATATAAATTTTTATATTAATTGCACATGATAGTTCATGGAATTGTCATGCCGATTGCTGATTTTGAAAATATCTGTGTTTTTGCACTTCTGCAGTGTTGGGATTTTGCTCGTCAAAGGTTGAACTATTGGTTGTTTTTTTTTTGCCATGATCATGGCCTTTGGAGGAGAAGTGACTAGTTGATTTCGCATGAAGGCCATTGCAAGTAGTTTTAAGTGTGGCTTTTTTGTAGTATATATATAAATACCTTGTTAAAGTGGTGGATGTTTTTTGGAGCTACTGGTTTTTGATCCTAATCTAAGATGATAGTGCAAATGTGCAATGCAAACTGCAGGTGTCCCAGTATAGATTACCGTAGCTTTATGCTGTAATCTGATTTACTAGTTCTCTTGAGCTTCTCTGAAGTCTACTGCGATGTAAGAATGTTTCTAGTCTAGCAGTGAAGTTTGAGTATAATTGAACAAGCTGTTCGTTGCTGAAGTACTTGATATTACTGCTCATTACTTCGTACACATTTCTATGATTTTAATTTGCAACCTCTAATTCAGATGCATTCAGATACCATGCTTCTAATATCATCATTAAAAGGAATTGAAGCTTGTTAATACTTGCTCTGCTTTGTATTAGTCGACATTCTATTCATAAAAATTAACTTTCGTGATTTATACATGTTGATAAAAAAACGTACTCCATTGTTATACGAGGTCATATTAGCAAATGTAAAATCATTACGAATATAATTTTTTCTTTGTCGATAATTGGAGATTTTATGTATAGAAAATTTGAATTTATGCACTGGCAAACCGTAAACCTATCTAAAGAATCAAATTTTACTGTGTGCGTGATGGATACTCTAGGCTTCCATTTTGGTGGTACTCTAATAGAATCTTCCCCAAGAAGCTTCACAAAAACAGATCAAAGTAGTGTGCAAGAGACACTTCTTCTACTAGACTGCTACAAGTATACTAGAACAACACTGTATTTCTCGAGCTTGAGATTGAGCAACAATGGCGGTACTTCCTACTGAATTGATCATTGAAATTCTCTCAAAATTACCCGTTAAAACACTTCTTCGCTTTCTATGCGTTTGCAAATCTTGGAATTCCTTAATTAAATCCCCCAATTTCATCAATATCCACCTCAATCAAACCTTAATTTCTAACTCTGATCGTCATCTCCTACTATTTTACCCGTCTCTTCGATCTGCTGAGCTCGACCTCCACTATAATCAACTCTCTTTCTCTGAAATCCACCACCCTTTGCAACCCCACAATTTAAGCTTGTTTGGTTCCTGCAATGGCATTGTTTGCCTCTCCGACAATTCGAATAGTGATGTTGTCCTGTTCAATCCTCTTACTAAGTCTCATCGTAAGCTGAAACTCCCATCTGTTAGCATTTCTGCAGACTACATTGTTAAGTTTTGAGTGGTTTGGGTTTGGGTACGATAGCGGAAATGACGATTACAAGATACTTAGGATGGTTCAAAAGCATAAAAATGACACGATTTTCAGCAACGAAGCGAAAGTGTATAGTCTGAACAACAATTCATGGAAATGTGTCCAAGGTATACCATATTATCTCTTCTATAAAGATTTTCATGGTGTGCTTGTGAATGAAGTTTTACATTTTATAGTTACAAAGGAGTTGGATTTTCAATGTCAGTTGATTGCTTGTTTTAATCTTAGTACTGAAAGCTTCTCGTACATGGAGTGTACTGGTTATGATAAGGAGTTGATGAGGACTGAGAGGCTTTTGTCGGAATTGGGTGGATGTTTGTGTGTGGTTGTTACGTATCATGTTCGGGATTCTTGTATAATGGAAGAGGCTGATTTTTGGGTGATGAATGAGTACGGAAACAAAGAGTCTTGGGTTAGGTTGTTTAGTATTAGTCTGCCAGGAAATATTGGGGCTTATCTACAGATAAAGCCTCTAGTTTACTCCAGAGATGGGCGAAGAGTTTTGTTGGAGATTGATAGTTTGAGACTTGTTTGGTATGATTTAGAATCCAACAAAGTTGTTGGTTGTTGCAAAGCTCATGGACTGCCAGACGGAGCTTTGGAGATGACCAAGTTCGTGGGCAGCCTTCTTTCACTTGAAGTTGAAGAGAAGCTCGGTCAGGAAAAGGGAACCTTGCCAAGGAAGAACAATTTAAAGTAAACAGATTTCTAAAGCTATATTACTTGCATTTCCCTTTTGCCTAATCCAAATTTCTGTTATGCTATTCAGTGTGTTGCTATAACTTTTGTTTGTGTTTGCTATGTAGGGGATATTCTTACAGCTTACTGTCTGTCTGATTGATGTCTAAAATGAATGCATAAAACACTTTGCTAGGTGACAGTCATATTACTGTCACATTATTATGTGTTTGGCTAAGTTATAATTCATGTTTATGTTATCTATTTTAATTGCATTTTCAACTAATTTTATCAGGGGACACAATTCACCATTATAATTTATAAGCTCATGATTTCTGTTAGAAGTTTGGACTGAAGAGGCCACATTGAACGTTTCCCTCGTTTCACCCTAGTAGCTTTTCTATTTTCTTAATGAATGTTTGTTGAAGTATAATGCTAGAGTAACTTGATAGAGGATTTGTTCATAAGTAATTTATTACAAATTAGAAAATTTTGATTCTTACTTTATTTCTTTGTAATTGTTAAACTTCAAATTAATTTGTGTCTCCTCTCTTCGACCATTTGGTTTTATTTGATTTTCGAAAGTTGACATATTCAAATAGAGTAATGTTGCATCAATTAGTAAGCATTGCCATAATCTTGGAAAGACAAATTTGTATGTAATGAAACCAATGACTTTTATACTCTTCTGAAGCACTTCCTTCTTTTTCTTCAGGAATGATTTGGAAAATTATCTTTCTGTGGGGTTCAAGTTGAGGCTGTGAAGATGCTAATTGAACTAGTTCTGAACTGTGTAATGTAAGTATGAAGTTGTCTTTTATTGATCAAATCTTCTGTTCACGTGACCTTTTTTTGCTGCATTCTCACTCATGTTTGTTATTGTTAATGCACGTAACCCTTCACTTGAAAGGAATCATAGTGTATTGCTTGGACTATGCTGGCCAGCCTGCTGTTGGCAATCTTAATCCCTTCTTTATAAAGAAGATGCATTTACATTAGACAAAAAGTACGGTCTTAGGCCATTTCCACTTCCAAATTAAAGAAAAATTAATAAAGAAAACAGACAAGAAGCATTATATTAGGCCAGGATAGCAGGTCTTATATATATTCAGATGAGTTTGAAGAGTTGAAATGATTTCAGTGTGTTAGTCCACAAATAAATAGGCTTTGCTTTTTAGATCTCGCTTAGAAGATAACTTCTATGCTCAATTAGTTTATTAATTTGTCTTTTAAGGATGAGACAATTCCATGTAGTTGACTTGTTAATTACATAGATTGATGCTGAAGTCCAACTTCTAAGTAATTGGGGCTTATACCATGTATTGACATAGCACAACTAAACTAAGAAGACCCATTAAATTAATTAAGCAAGTTTTATTTTCTTAAGGATCGATCAAGATTTCTGCTAAAAAGCTTGCGCTTCCTTGGTTGGGAGATGTCCATACTAGAGCCCAAGGCTGTCTAAACAGCAAGGATATGAGAAACTTAGGATATGGGAGATGGAAAGCTTGTTATCATTGTTAGAAAGAAAAAACTTTTGGAAAATTTTCCTCTTAACATGTTCATGGATATCTTGCATGGCTCTTGCTGATTTTAAATTGCTTGTCTTTGTGCAGTGTTTGGATTTTGCATTGTTAATATTTGCACTTTTGGTTGGTTTATATGTCACTACTGCGCGACTTGTGCCTTGATCATGAAGTGACCATTGGTTGAGTAGGTGGCCATTGTAGAGAACTGGGCTGATGATTTGATGTAGAGGCCATTGGAAGTAATTTCATGATGTAATACATAAACTAAATATTCTAGGTATATGGTTAATGTATTTTGGCTTTTATTGTTGGTAGACTGATAGTGTTTTGTACTGATGTGTGAAGGGTATTTCTGAGTTCCTTGTAAGCTATGCTAATGAATCAAAAAAATTCCGTAGTATTTGGTGTAATATGTAATCTGACCGGTTTCATGGTGTTTGATTCTGTTTGTGGTCTGATGTTATTTTTTTTTTCTTTTCAAATACTTGTATGTGTAGAGTTGTGCTTAATCAAGCCGATTAATTCTTGTACGTGATTGATCATTTAGGAATGGGGCTCAGTTGTCACAAAGCTGATTGGCAGTTTGCTGGTTTGCAACAAATTTCACCCAACCAAACATACTTATATATACTGACTTGTTTAGCTAGAAGGGCCTCAGGTACTATTGATTAAAGTGATTACTATTTTAGGTTAAAGAAAGCAATTAGATTAACTTAATACAGCACAAAGCAGCCAATTACAGTACATAGATACTGCTCATTAAGGAGAGAGTCAAAACACAGTGTCGCAGCACTCACATAGTTCAACAAAAGACTACTAGTAGCACAATTAGCACTAGAATTTGTTCATCTCATTTGAATACAAAAGTTGCTATTTTACTCAAGTAGCCTAAAAAGAAACAGCATCAGCTTCAGTTTTGTCAGACGGCAGGATTGGATTGGAGGCCAACCAAGTAGGCATAGGCCAGAAAATCTTGGTAAACTTGGAAGGCAAATCAACACCAGTCATCACTCGGCCGTCTTTCAAAGTATGGAGTCCACAAAATCTGCTGAACATTTGCAACTCTGACTTATAGCTGTGATCAATATCATCACAATGCGCGTCTCCATAGCAGTAGTATCCATGCCCCTTGAATCCTTCTTGGGTGAAAAATATGCAATTCCCTCGACTCCAACCTATTTCTCGAGCTGATAGAGAGAAGCTTACATATTCGCTCACAAACAACAGTCGGTCTCCTAGATTCTTCACTGTCTCCCAATAGTACTCCTTTTCGCTATTTGGTGAGCTCGAGCAAGAACAGCTCAAGGTAGATACCATAAACTCAAGTGGTTCTCCTACTTCACTCAAGTAGTCATGAATGACAAACTTCTTTTTTACCTTGTCATAGAAAGTAGCCTCCATAATACGGGCACTCATGTTAACAACTTTGTTAACCAGGCAAAGTTTCCCACACGATTCCACCAAATAGGAGCAAATCATAAACCCTTCACTTTCCACTTCCTCCAAATGTGGCCTTGCAATTGTTTTCACCTCGAATGTTCGAGGATCAATCGATATCAGCTTACCCTTGTAATCAATAGCATAAAATTCACCCTTATAAGCAATAACATCACTGAAACGATGGCTTTCGAAAGGGATGATAACCCATTCCTCTGCTCCAGATTTTAACAACCCCAAATTCCCATCAACATACAAAGCCAGAAGCGAGTAATTTTCAGCAGTGGCGCCTGATTTTGGAAGCATAACAATCGTAACAGCTCTAGGACTGTCATCAGAAAACTGTAACAGGACAAACTGTATGATCTTGCAACTTCAGAGATTCTATAATCTAAGAAGCTAACCTCAGCTTTGAAATCTGGCATTGGTAAAAATACATGAGCAGGAGAAATGGGATTCTGAAGTGTCCATGTATGAAAAGGGCCTGACATTTCATCGACTCGAGTGAGCCAGACATCAGTACTGGTACTGCTGGTTTCAGTTTCTGCAGGTTTAGAAATGAGGTAAAAGACACTCTGGTGTAAATATCCAGTGTCATTGTCGATGCAATGGTCGGATCGTGGTGTTATTATGGGTAGGGAGGATTACCTCAAGAGGGAAATGCAGAGGGGGGTTAGGAGGAAAAAGAGAGGCACGCCAAGAGGTGCAGACACTACGCAGCCTACGACGGTCAGTTTCGGTTTTGTTTAGGCCTCGAAGGACTAGGGAGAGGATGTCAACAGGGAGACTACTCCAATCTTTTACAATTTGTGGTTGGTTAGCCATATTTGATGGGATAATTTGGATGGTTTGTAAAGGGTTTATCCGTTTATGGTTTACTTGTTTAAGAGAAAGTGGTGAATACTGTAGTTTGTAAAGAGTAGTGCTTTTTATAATGCTGGGTATTGATAGAGTTTTCTAGAGAAAGTTCAAGAAATGGGGAAGCGGCGCTTCATCAACATATTTGGAAGATGGACGGTGTGTATACTGTATAGCCGTATGGTTATGAGTTTTAGGTTAATGAAATATTGGGTATGCACTTCTTTAAAAAAATAAATAAATAATAATATTGTTACGTTGGAATATGTAGAGATATCATTTTCTTTTGAACAAAGAAATATCAGTATTGATATTATGACATCATAGCAAAATAATACAGTACCTTATTTTTTAAAAATAAATAGCAAAATAATACTCATAATAGAGAGTAAGAGTATAATTTATTGGTAAAAAAAAAATTGGTGTCATTATATACTCAAATTTAATGATAACTAGCCTTGAGACTCAAGCAATACACAAATTATTTATAGGTGTACAATATAAACTTTTATTTTGTACTACCTCTTTTTCATATATTTTGCAACTTTTGTCAAAAATGGATGCTATAAATTGTTTGCAACTAATGCTTTCTTTTCTTTTTAGGTTGTTATTTCTCTCTATCTCTCTTCTTAATTATCACATTTAATTCAATTTTTCTCTCTCTATCTTACACACACAAACAAATTTTGGCTAGAAGTTCGTGCACCCTTCAAAGTTGCGTGAAATAGAGGTAGTAATACATTTTATTAGAAAAATGAATAGTATATAAAAGAGAAGAAGGGGTAATACATTTTGATTCACCTTCTACAATTACAAGTGGGTGTTGTTATTTGTCGCTCCCATTTTACAGGGTAACGCTCCCTTTTTGTCTTGAAATTCCAATTTTACCCCTAATATATAAATACGGTTTTTTCCTTCCCGACCAACATTTCTCACTTTCTTACTTCTCTCTCTAACTCTCTTACTCTCAACCTCTCTTACTCTCTAACTCTCTAAAACACTCTAAAATTTTTTTTAAAAAAAAAAATTCAAAAAATTTTCTTCATTTTTTAAAAAAACAACAATCATCATAAACACAAAAAAAATGGGTGATTCGAGGCGGATTAGGCTGAGATTCGGAGGGAGGAGCTTCGGCGACGTTGGTGGCAGCGGCGGCGATGGTGGCGACGAGGTAATTTTTTTTTTTTTTAATTTCGGATCCCAGGAACTTCCGCCCAAAAATTCCAGAAGTTCCATGGAGGATCCGCCTGGAATTTCCGAATCCTCCATGGAACATCCGGAATTTTTGGGCGGAAGTTTCAATTTTTTTTTTTTCCCGTTAATAAAATTGTTAATTTTTTTTTTCGGATTTTGTTTTTTTTGTTATTTTGAAGTGTTATGGTGATTATTGTTATTATTATTGTTGATATTATTATTATTGTTGTTGTTTAGAGGTGGCCAGTGGGCCGGGTTGGACCCAGCCCACCCTAACTCGCACGGCTGGTGGGTCACGTGGGTCCGACCCGGTTTCAATCCGGCACAGCCCGGCACAGCTCGGATTTAATCCGGGTTGTGTCGTGGGTCCAAAATTTTCGACACAACCCATTTCAACCCAGCTCAGTTTAACCCGTTTGATTCGACCCAAATCGCACAACCCGTTTTGACTCATTTAATTCGACACACCTAGCCCGTGAACCCACCTAACCCGACCCACCTGGCACAACCCAGCCCGCACGGCCCACCCGCACGAATGACCCACCCAACCCGCACGAGCCAACCCACCTAACCCGCACGCATGACCCACCCAACCCGCACGCATGACCCACCCAACCCGCACGGCCGGCACAACCCGCACGGCCCGCACAACCCGCACGGCCCGCACAGCCCGCACAATTCGCACGGCCCGCACGGCCTAACATCCATTTTAAAAAAAAAACGGCTAGTTTTTTGTATCTAACGGCTAGTTTTTTAAGTGTATGATCATCCATTCTATTTTTCCTATAAATACCAATTCCATTTCACTCAAATTTCCACACAAATTCAAGCTTTCTTTCTCTCTTACTTAAAAATTCTTATTGTTCTCAAATTCTCAAGTGTTATATAGAGTTATATTTTTGTTAAAAAAAATCTCCTTAATATTATTATTAGTATTCTTAAGATTCTAAAAAAAAAAAGTTCTTCTCCATATTATAATTAGTAATCATACAAAAAAAAAAATGAGCTCAAGAGGAGGAATGGGAAGGAGTCAAAGTGGTGGTCGAAGTGGTAGCCAAAGGAGTGGTGGTGCAAATTTTTCGTATGAAATTAATACGGAAAATTTAAACCAATTTGTCAATGAATATGGAGATTATGGTTTAGGAGATAGGCAAAATATTCAAACGTCTCCACCACAACATTTCTCCCACGAGTCCCACCAATCATCAAGTTCAACTATGCCACCTCCATCGCAACCAACATCTCAACCTTCATCTCAAGGTAATTTCTAATTAAATTTTTATTGTTATGAATATTTAAAAAAACTATTATTAATGATTATAAAGTTAGTTTAGTTTCCAATTTTCTATGATTTACAATTAGTTAATTACCATGAAAAATGCGTTTAAATAAGTATAATTAAAATATTTAAAATTTAAAAGCTTATTTTCATGAATAGCATTTAAAAATTAATTTTAATAATTTGATTTATGAAAGGTGGTGGCGGTGAAAGTAGAGGTCGAGCACATTTTTCTTGGGTGTGGAAACATTTTGAACGAGTTGAGGTCACACCCCCGGGATGGCAACCTGGTCAACCAAAGAGGTTCACGTGTACATGCCTAGTTTGCAAGGCGCTAGGTGCAAATGTCAAGTCATATAATTGGAAAACGGGAGATGGAACCGGAACCTTGAGTCGGCATTTGCAAAATAAACACGACTTGTTCGAAAATGGCCCCCGTCCTTCGGGGGGTGGCGTCCAAACACAATTGGGTGGATACATGAACCAACCCGGCGGAGGTACACCTTTCATTTATAATAAAGATAGAATGATTGATGAAATGAGTACTTTAGTTATTGCTAATGAATACCCTTTTAGTTACGGTGAAAATGCAAACGTTGAGCATTTTAATAAAGTTGCATTACAACCTGCATTTACTCGTGTCCCCCGAAATACCCTAAGACGTTATACACAAACTTCTTATTATAAGTATAGGAGTGGTTTGATTGAATTATTTCGTACTTTTGATGGTCGTGTTAGTTTTACAAGTGATACATGGACTTCTAGTTTTGGCGAACCTTTTCTTTGCATTACTGCTCATTGGGTGGATGATGATTGGTTTATTCAAAAACGTATACTATGTTTTCAAGCTATGGAAGAAAGGCATACCGGTTTTAACATCAAAGTTCGTATTTTGGATTGTTTAAAAGAATTTCACTTGAATAATAAAGTTTTTTCTTTGTCTCTTGATAATGCAACTGCAAACACAAAGTGTATTGACTATTTGAAAAATGACTCCGAGTTGAATTTGTTGTTGGGTGGTAGTCTCTTGCATGTTAGATGTTGTGCTCATATTTTGAATTTGTCTGTTCAAGAGGGTCTCGCTGAGTTGCAACCATTGCTAAACCCAATTAGAACAGTTATAAAATGGATTAGGATTACTCAGTCAGTTAGAAGAAAGTACATAGCTATGTGTAAAGAGAGAGGTCTTAAGAAAAGACAATGGTCTATTGATACCCCTACCCGTTGGAATTCTACTTTCAAGTTGTTGAGTGATGCTATAAAGTATCGTGATATTTTGACCCAACTTTACAATGAGACTCGTGTTGATCCTACTGAGTTAATAACCGAAAGTCATTGGACTAATGCTTCTTTTGTTCGTGATGTTTTAAATGCTTTTGATAGTGCAACTCATATTTTTTCTTATATTTATGAGCCTAACGTTCATTTAGTCATAATTGAGTGTGTTAAAGTTGTTCACACCATCGAAGAGCATATGAAGATTGATGGACTTCGTCCCGTTCTTGATAGCATGAAACGTAAGTGGCATACTTATTTTAGTGAATTTCCAATCATTTATGGAATTGCTGCTATTCTTGACCCCGGTGTCAAAGCTGAAGGTTTGGAAAATCTTTTAGAATTTTATTATACAAGTTTAAGTATCGATTATGATGTTAGTGAATATATTAACAAATGCAAATCTGTTTTGGGAGACCTTTATGATCATTATGCATCTATTTATGGTTTTGATTTGGCAACACCAACTACTACTAGCACTTCCGATTCTAGATTTGGTTTTCTTGATAAAGTTATGAAAAAAAAAACACAAAGCATCTACATCATTCTCATCATCATCTTCTTCAACACTTGCTATTAATGATTATTTGTCATATCAACATGAGACCAACAACAACTTTCAAATTATAAAATGGTGGCAAGAACATAAAAAAAGTTTTCCTATATTGGCGAGAATTGCAAAAGATATACTTGCAGTTCCCGCTTCATCTGTTGCTTCCGAGTCTGCTTTTAGTGCAGGTAGAAGAGTGTTAGATGAAAAAAGATCTCGCTTAACTCCGGAAAGCATTCAAATTTGTGTTTGTAAGAAAGATTGGGATCAAGCTGAAAGAAGAACTCAAGGTTTAAAGGAAGACGAAGACGATGAAGATGATCCTGTGATGATATTGGAGTCGTCAACGGATGATGCAGCTTCCGGGGATGATGATGCAACAAACATGGGTGGCTAGAAAAGTCTAAATCAGGTACGCTAAGAACTACGTGGGCTTTGATTCTTTCGGGATACGTAGGCAACTTATTTTTCGAAAATTACAATTTAATTGCAAAATTAAATTTTAGTTTTCTAAAGATAGGTCCAAGCCCCCCCCCCCAAATTTCAAAAGAAGTACAATATAAGAACTACGCTGGCTTTGATTCCTTATTTTATAATATAAGGATACGTAGGCATCTTAATTAAGAGCAAGCCATCAAATTGTTAATTTTGTAAAAATTAAAACACCAC